CTTATTTCATAAAAACAGTCAGCAATAAATAAAGAAATATATACAATGATATTTACCTGCAAATCCTCATTAAATGGTTTAAACACTTCCAAAATTGACTCAATATTTTCTTCACAAATTAATTCTTTTGGGCAGTTATATTTGAATACATCAAAATGAAAACTCAAGCATTGCAGAAGATTCCAAACACCCACATTTTTCATATCAACATACTGCTTGTAATTCAAAAATTTTATCAATAAAGACTGTAAACCAGCTATTGTGGATTGATTAGAAGATGTTGATATGTCTTCCTTATAAATCTCAACACCCAGTATATTACTATTGGGTTTATTCATTTCCTTACTTATATTTTTTCGATGACATTTTGAACATAACACAGATATATTTATAGCACTATTTAAAAATATCTGATGTCCTATATTATTTTCATAGGTATCAATAATAGCAGAAGATAAACCCAATGACGAGCATGCTATCGCTGGTAAAGTGTGACAAACTTGTGCCTGTATGTTGTGATCCTTACTTAGGAAACATGGCATTAAAACATCTCCAATTAATCTACTTGCTGAATATGTTTTGTTTAATTGTAACAAGGGACATAGTTCAATAACCTAAAAAATATATTAAATTAAATCTAAAGTTGTAATATTTTTAAGAATCCTGAATATTTCAAATGGCACACTTACTTCACTTTTAAAATTCATTTTCTCCTTAAAAATTGTTTCTGTTAAAAAGTTTATTATTGTGTTCCAGGTTTCAGTGCATTTTGTTTTCAGAATAAGTTTTATAATCAGTAAATATTTCAAAATCACAATCTTTATGTTGTTATCAAACCTTAAATCCTTTTCACTAAATTGTACATTGTTTTGTAAACACAACAATTGTAGAATTTTACTACCTTCTGTAGTTGTTAAATTCGAGTTAAGTACAACTACACTAAGTATTATATTTAGAAATATTACGAGACTTTTTTTATCATCTAATAGAACAGCTTTGTGCAATTTTATAAGCTTTAGCAGAGATTTTAATGTAGTTGTAGTATATTGTGTCTGACTTTGAAATGCAGCTCTTCTGTCGCTCTTTAGAAGTCCATTTTGTAATATACTTAAAGAAGAGAAACATCGCTCCAAATGATGGTTTATGATAAAGCTATCGGTATTTATTTCTTCACATGATTGTAATGTTTTAACAACCATTATTAATTGATTAAAAAACCAATTCTCATTTAGATCCACTGCTTTAGTATTATTAACATGCTTTATGATGTTTTTAGAGTAGTAAACAGAAACTGCATCTATTTCTTTTGCAACCATACTCTCGACGTTAATAATATCTTTAGGATAATTCAATTTGTGACTCAGTGCCAAACACTGTAGTTTTAGTTCTTTGCTGAATATATCTGATCTCTTTGTCCTCAATATTACTATACAGATACTCAATACAACACTTTTATGTTCTTCATTTAAATGCTGAGCAGAATCTCTTATGAGTTCACCTATTACTTTATTTATACCTTTAATGTAGATATTGTCTATTTCACCTTGCTCATAGAAATTTTCTAAGGAGTGAACAATAGCTTCTAGACAATTTAGCACTTCTCTGAATTCGTCAGCAAAAATATATTGGAATTTGGCAATGCCAACAGTCTTATAATTCTTAACTAAATTAGAAAAAAAAATTAAAGAATTTAATTTCAGATCTACACTGAAATTTTCCAAAATATATAAACCCTGTTTGAGTACACTTTTATATTGAAAGTTATTTATAGAGTTTTTCATAGAATTTATGGGTAAATTGTCTGATAGAAGCTGTAGTATTAAATTTATCAAATGTTTACATGTTTTCAAATTTTTTACTTTGACAAATATGGGATCCAAATTTATTTGCACAAATGGGATTTCCACTTTTTCTGGAGCAAAGTGTGGTAATGTTATTTCTATATTGCTATTTAAATATGAATCTTCATAATATTTTACAAGTGTATTTAATGCCGATATATATTCTGATTGGATCGTACTGTAAAATGATGCATTACCAATACATAATATGTTCAATATTTTTAACTGAGCATCTTTACTTGCTGTGTGTATTCTGTAAAAAGAAACCATTACTGCAAGGTACAATCCTATCGTGCTATCACTAAAGATGTGACTCAAGCTAAATTGAGCAATAACCACTACAACATAATATCCATCCATATAATTTATCAACATCTTATTTTCGAACACAATTTTCCCTTTAGTTCCTGAATGGAGCACTAGCAATAAGACATGTCGAAAGTCCCATTACAGCACAGAAGTGGTTACTTTTGCTTTTGGATAAAGGTTACAATGGGTGCACAGCTAACTAATCTACTGTCTAGCACTTAAAACACCTTTCAAACCTTGGGGCCGTGAGATTGCTGAGGGTGTCTAAACTGTGGATAAGGTTTAATTTTTTTTAATGAAAATCACTAATTTTATATATTTTACGAAATGCACAAACCTAAGAAGATATTCCTGTGACCAAATGTAAAATAGCCTTCCAATTAACCATGTATTAAATGCACTATAGTAGACTTCAGGGTATTTTTCGTAACCAACTCTTGGAACTAAATCCTCTGAAAAATCTCTGTAGAACAAATTGATATTGCAATTAATCTTTAAGCAAATAATCAGCTTAAATATAGTGTGTTTGTACAAATAACAAAAACTTAATAGTTTACCCAGAAAATTTTAAAATTGATGTTATTAATCGGTCCAGCCCATCTACAGCATGTTCTAGATTATTAAATAAAACCACAGTAGGTTCATTAAGCTTTTGCCACACTGTGAATGGTCCATCCTGGTAGTCATCTTCCATTTCTATTTTAATAACCTTTTTGGAACGATATCCTAAATTTTGTTCCTAAAGTTTGTAATAACTTAATCTCCGCAATTCACACGGAATTCCTATTCGTTTTCTAGTTTGTTGATAATCTCTGTTTGAAGTTTTTAATAAACACTTCACTTATTCACTTCCAAGTTTGATACACAGGTTTGAAAATATTTATTTCAAAATATTTCAAACGTAAACCTTTTTTTATGAGATTTTGTGACCTGGTAACTAAGACCTTTAGGTCAAGTATTATTTTAACTCAAACCTTTAGAAAGTTCTTTTATGCATAGAATATAGGTGTATTCACTATACAGACTCCAAAATAAGCGTATTATCTACTACGGATGTAACTGACAGACAGACTTGAATGGGGATCTCAAATCACTTATTCAGATTCCATTCTATGAGACAACTAATATTTTTTTTAATGAATCGAAAATATATGTAACGAATATCTGTTTCAGATAGAACGCGACCATAAATAAATTACTAATAATTTGAATTCAGTCAATCAATTGTGAAATACTTAATTAACGAATGGTTGAACACATCTAAACACAAAATTTTAAATATTTTTTAAACTAATTAAATCACTGGACATCAGTAATGCTAGAGATATGCTAACTTGCTACCTGCTGCTGTGAAGTCTTTTTAAGCACGATTTAAAAAAGATCACAGAACTTGATTAATACTGAAGCGGGACGTTTATCAAGATCGCAGATCCAGACGTTACAAAATTGATCTCTGAAAATCTACTATGAATTAGTGATTTCAGATATAATTTATGCACTCTACTCCAACAACGGTATTTTATCAAAATATAGGCAGCACCAATAACAATCTTTAAAACAGGCGAGCCGTATGCTCTCCTGCGTACTAAGATTATGTTAATAGTTACAATTCCTACAAGTCATTAATTTTAAATCTGTAAAAAAATCGAATAATTAAACATTCTTCAATTCAAGTTGAACAGCAACACATCATCATTATCATATTTATCATATTTAATGTAGCTGATCATTCCGTTCTCTATGACCTACTCACAAATCTATACTAATATTATAAAGCTGAAGAGTTTGTTTGTTACACGCGCTAATCTCAGGAACTACTGGTCCGATTTTAAAAATTCTTTCAGTGTTAGATAGCCCATTTATCGAGGAAGGCTGTAGGCTATTTAACGTAACGCTAAGACCAACGCAGGCGGAGCACAAATAAAGATCATGCTGACCAATAAAGATGTTTCAAAATCGGGATTTTTTTCCCTTTTGAGGGCTTCCACTGCGTGCGCTGCGAAAACGGTTAAAGTTTTGCTAAATTAATGTATGAGAGAATTGTTTCCCTATACACGATCTAAAAAAAAGTCCGTGACAGCATATGTCTACGTGTTAAGGTTGGCTCACTATACCGTTTTTTATGCTAACCAAATTTGTTCTAAAATAAAGCTTTATTTGTGAAGGTGTTTTTATGAAGATGATATTAATCCCTATCCAAATAAATACGTTATTCATTACGATGCTTTAAAAATAATAGATTTTTCTGGATTTCTCCAGGATCCCATTATCAGATCTTGATGAAAGACCATTCGGGAAGTCGACCCTTTCAAACAATAAAAAGAAAAAAGAATTCTCAAAATCGGTTCGAGCATTCTCGAGAAATCAGTGAACAAACATAGATAAAAAATTATGGTCGAATTGATAACGTCCTCCTTTGAAGTCGGTTAAAAAGCGTGATTTTGGTACCTTAAACAGCTCCATAACATTCTCTATTATTCAAAAATACTTTCACTTTCTACGTAAATGAAGAGGCGGGTTAAATTTAGCGTTATGCCAAAGTAACTATTCCACGCGGACGAAGTTGCGGGCAAAAGCTAGTATTACATAAATGTCCATTAAAACACCAATATTTAAATACCATTCGTTTATTTCTATACAAATCATAACTTACTTTAAAATATCAAAAGAAAACAATTATCTCAGCAAAAAAATAAACATAAATATCTCTTTTTTCAATGTAGAATAAAATAGGTAATATAATAATGTTGCTATAATACATTTTGCATTTACATAGATTACAAGGCCTTATACTAGAAAGCTAGAAAAACCAAATGAATCTAATGGACCTAGAATGTGGTTTACTATTTGTTAATGTATTATTTAAATGAGTGCTTACTATTACATACATTTAGATAATAATTTTCAAGCCATTAAAATACAATTAAGATATTCAATATTTTCTAAGAGTATGTTTAACATTTTCCTCTCCTTTCTACTAATAACACATGTACTTGTGACGAAATTATTAGTTTAAATACCTAATGTTATTCAATTATTTGAAATGAAATATGAAATTACAATGTCCTTAGGGTAATTTTACAAAAAAAGACTGAAACGGTAATTTATTGTTTTGAGTTCTGTCTATATTTTTATAATCTACACGCTCATTTTTTATTTCAAAATATGTCACATCATAGCTTTTCTAACAACAAACAATTACACAGTCTTGATTAAATATTTATGTGTCCTATTTAATAGCAAATTTCTGCATACTCAATTTTTAATCAAAGCTAATCAGTTCTGCAGTGTTATTGTTTGGTTCTGGCTTTACTGGTGTCTGAGCTTGTTGGGGTGTTCCGCTTTGTTGCTGTTCTTGTGGAACATTAGAAAATGATTGTTGCACCTTAACAGGTATATTCTGCGGCAATGACTGCCCTTGTGCCATTTGCTGTGTTGGACCTATCATATGCTGAGGAACCGTTCCTGGTATTTGTTGCATTTGTTGTGCCATTTGACCTTGCATTTGCTGTCCGGGTATATGGCCTTGAGGCAACTGATTCAAATTTTGACTGTGCTGTGGTATATTTTGACCCTGTGGTAACATTTGTTGTCCTTGCATCATAATCTGTGTTCCCGCTTGTTGAACAGCTTGTCCTTGATTAGTTTGATGACCTGCCATTTGAGGCTGATGAATTTGCTGAGGGACTTGACCCTGATTTTGATGCAGTTGTGGTCCTTGAGATATCATATTTTGGCTTGTTGAATTAATGTGATTCGGGTTAGTTATTCCCTGTGTATGACTGGGCAATTGTTGAGTTTGCATCGTTTGAGGCCCCTGTAATGACACCGGAGGTCCTTGCATTGCCATTTGATGAGGTTGCTGAGGATTTTGTGGTTGTGGACCAGCTTGGTTGGGTTGGTTCTGAATATTTATTTGATATCCCGAAACAGGCACTTGTGGATTTATATTAGGATTTTGTCCTTGGATCAAAGGCATCCTCATGTTTTGCATTTGCACTCCAATCATTGGATTATTTGGGTTCATCATGGGTTGATGATTATGTTGACCGACAGTCGGTAGCATCATTGGGTTTTGTTGTTGAGGTTGATTCGGCATAACTGGTTTTTGTCCTGGCGGTCCATTGGCAAAGTTTTGGGGCATTATTTGATGCATACCCGGTTGCGACGGCATGCGCATTTGGTGCATTTGTTGCATCATCATCTGCGGCATAGACATCTGTTGTCCTGCCGGCAGGCGAATATTAGGTTGGTTCATCGGCGGCTGCGGTCCTGCAGATGACGGGCCGACGCCAGGCATAGACGCCGATATCCCGTACGCGTTTGACATATGAGGCATAGACTGCGCCACGGTCGGCATCTGATTCGGTCCCATTGGGGCATGAGATTGAGATATTTGCGGTTGACCGGGCATCGGGACTGATGCGTCAGTCGTAGCTTGAGGCATCATTTGAGGATGATATTGAGGGCCTCCATACATAGCTTGATTGGGATATCCTGTGGGGAACTGAGGCACAGACATTCCGGGCACGAAATAGCCACTGTTGGTCGACATCATGTACTGATGTTTCTGCTGTTCCTGCCTCATTTGCATTTCTCGCTCTTGTTCCTGTAAAGCACGAAATGGAAATTTAAAACTAAAGAATCTCAAATAGAATTTGTGTGACTATTTATTAAAAGGTACAAAGGATGCAACTAATAGTTAAAACTTCTGTGATTCATATACTATGGACTGTTTGTACAACGATTTATTGAGTCATTTAGGTTAGTACAACTCTCCTGCCTATTTCTATCATATATTAACCAAGTGATTTGAATTATATACGATGAGACTGTGGCCACCACAGAACACAAGATATTTGACAGACGGCGGAACTTGCTTACAACATTTTCAAGAAAAGCATGCATATATGGCCGTCTGGTGTAGTGGTAAGTGACATGGTCACTACACAAGGAGGTCGCGGGTTCGAATTCCGCCAAGGGAAGATATTTGTATGATAAATATAAATGTATTTTCAAGGGTTACGGATGTATATTAAATATATGTATGTGTATAATAAAAATCTTACATTTATTTCCGTTATCTGGTACCTGTAACACTAGTTCTTTACGAACTTATCACGGGACCAGTTAACGTAGCGTGATTGATAGTAAATATTTATTTATATGAAAGTTCCGAACAAAAACATTAGGACCGTCGATCTGAGATCTTCCCTTCATCGTTATCCCCAAAAGACATATCCACTAAAAATTTTAAATTAGAAAACGTAAAGATAACCTGAACGCGTTGCAGGGCGAGTTGTCGCTGATACTGCAGGTACTCGTGTTTCTTTTTCCTCATGGCCTGTAGTTTGGCGGCCATCTGCATCTGTCTCTGTCTTTCGGCGGCCTCGGCGGCGGCGGCGAGGCGGGCGGCGTGCTCGGCGCGCAGCGTGTCCAGTGCCGCGCGACTGTCGCGGATCTGACTCACTTTATCCTGCCCAACATTATAATAATTACTAATGGTCCCCCGGTAGTCGAAATTCTACAATAATTACTTGGAATTATAACAGATTTCGCCAAGACTACACTTTAGACAAATATTTTATAGAGACAAACAGTATTTAATCTATTCTCAATTTGACCACAGACAATAAGCAATAAGAAAAGTTTGACCGTAAACAAATAGTATACGTCATGCGCGTGTGTCAAATGGTAGTTGTGTAATGTTTTTTTATTTATTGATTTGATTTCATACTACTCCGTACGCACAATTTTCTCATTTTCATAAAATACCTCACAAAAAAACTGCTCGTCAAAAAATTGTAATAGTACACAAGATTTATTATTCTTGATACTTTTTTTATAAAACAAAATACCTGTAAGCTTTCCAAGTAAACGCGTTTGTCGTCTTGTTGTTGTATGTACTTCAGCAAGCGTGAATGCATTGTAGTCAGATTCATGAATAGAGTTTGAACTGCGGTGTCGTTGGCGATGGAACGTCCGCTACATAAAAAGTATTCATTCGTATGTCAATTTGAATTTCCAAGAATAATAAAATAATAAAAAAAAAACATTCATTGTTCGAATGTTTTGAATAAAATTGAGATAAATACCGTGACGAGTTACTCTTCATTCTGTTAACGAATATTTCTATCTGTGACTTGAGCGTATCAACGAATTCATCTATTTCTTTGTCTTCAGCGTCGTCGTCTTGCGCTTTGGCTGTCGACGGTTTTGTGAAATCCTGTAACCAATATAATACACATAACAATTTCTTACCATATGCCACCCCCAGTTTGAAACTCGTCCTGGCCTAAAGGATAAGACGTCCGGTGCATTCGTATCTAGCGACGCACCGGTGTTCGAATTCCGCAGGCTGGTACCAATTTTTCTAATTAAATACGTACTTAACAAATATTCACAATTGACTTTCACGGTGAAGAAACAACATCGCGTAATAAAAATCAAACCCGCAAAATTATAATTTGCGTAATTACTGGTGGTAGGACCTCTTGTGAGTCCGTATGGGTAGGTACCACCACCCCGCCTATTTCTGCAATGAAGCAGCAATGCGTTTCGATTTGAAGGTTGAGGTAGCCGTTGTAACTGTACTGAGAGACTGAGACCCATAGAACTTATATCCACAGTCCACCGATCTAAGCGATAAAAAAAAATTGTAATTGATTTCAAATCACACGTTTAAGTTAATTTAAAAAACAGTCGTCATTGTATTATAATAAGATGTATATTGAGTATAATAAGATGTATAATGAATATAGCACCTCGGCTGTATCGTTGGAGGCAGTAGAGGCAGGTGCCGGCGCGGTAGGAGCCGCTCCCGCAGTGTCACGCGACAGTCGTTGCTCCCAATAGTTCCGGTCTAAGTATCGAGATAGCTCAGCGTTGGCCTGTGTGCTGTGTTCGGGGGAGGCACTCACTGATGACGGAGTTGGAGATACTGTGAATACAAATTTATTTGAAACGTATCAAATTTTTTTTTTTTGAGTGTATTATTACTGTTGGTCCGGAGGCCTTTCCAGTTTCACCAGGACAGATGGGCGAGCCAAGGCTCAGCCAGAAGGGGTGGGATTTGCTAACAACTGCTCGAGCGCCTGCGAAGGAGACCTAACAACTCAAGAGCAAGTGCTTCGCGAATGAATCTACTACCGGATCGGAATCGCGACCCGCTGGGAAGATCCGGCGAGAAACTCAGCGAGCTGATGCGTGGGTTAGGTTGGACGTCGACCTCTTTGTCGAGTTCGACGAGTACGGTTACCGATCAAACAATATATTTTTCTTTATCCGAGTAGTTGAACTCGTCCCCCGCCTGAAGTTACTCGGCTACCGGAACTCATAGAGGTCTTAACGTGAATGCAGTCAGCTTTCGCTGAGACACGAGCATCTTTAATGAAAAGAAGGTGTAGTCCTATCGAGTGATGAGATAATGCCGGTATTCGAAGTCGTCGTGGCGTAAAGGACTAAGACGTCCGGTGCATTCGTATGTTGCGATGCACCGGTGTTCGAATTCACCATTTTTTCAATGAAATATGTATGTGCTTAACAAATGTTCACGATTGACTTTCACGGTGAAGGAATAACATCGTGTAATAAAAACCAAACCCGCAAAATTATAATTTGCGTAATTACTGGTGGTAGAACGTCTTGCGAGTCCGCACGGGTAGGTACCTACCACCCTCAGGCCTGTTTCTGCCGTGAAGCAGTTATGCGTTTCGCTTTAGGGCGGGGCAGCTGTAGTTAAAAGTGAGACCTTAGAACTCATGTCTCTAAGTGTCGTGGGTGACGGCATTACGTTTTATATGTCTATGGGCTCCGGTCACCGCTTAACATCAGGTGGGCCGTGGACGAGCGTCCATCCAACTAAACAAAAATAATAATAAGAAATCAAATCCGCAAACAAGAACTTTTTTCTTTTCTAGTAAACACGATACCTACATACTTAACTCGACGACTTCAATGATAAACGAACAACATAGTGTCATAAAACGAGACCAGTATATTACCTATGTACCTATGTAAACACTAATTATCTAGTGTAAGTCAGCACTACTGCGCCCCGTCTATTTTTGTAGAGAAGCAGTCGCACTTTCCTTGAAAGGGGAATGGCAAATTACAATACAATAGACTTTAGACCTTAGAACTTATATCTCAAGGTGGGTGGCGCATTTACGTTGTAGATGTCTATGGGCTCCAGTAAACACTTAACATCAGGTGGGATGTGAGCTCGTCCACCCTTCTAAGCAATAAAAAGAAAAAATACTACGATATCATGGCTCAAGGTGGTAGCGGCATACACTTTGTAATGTCTGCAGGCTCTAGAGACAACATAACAACAAGTACACTGTGAGCTATCACACGGCATCTAGGCATTGCCCCTATGCCAGAGTCACTGCCTCTTACTTACTGTTAGGACGATGAGGCGTGGGATCCGGTGCGATATGCGGACGAGATTTACGTTCTTTCTCTTTATGTTCCGCCTCGGACTGACTCAGCGCGATAGCCAGTTGCAACTCTTCTTCCTCTTGCAGTTCCTCAGCAGTTTTACCACCAGGAGGGCGCTTCTAATGATATCAATGAATGTATGAAGAAAACAATATTTTCTTTTGCAGACTAAAACTAACTGTTGTTTATTAATTTAAAATATTAAATTACACTATTTTTATTTTTCAATAATGTAGAGAATTATAACTACAAAACTTTGTTAGATTTTTCAGGTTTTTTTTTTTACATAATTCTCTCTGTATAATAATATGAGCGTGTTTTTGTTTTGCTTTAATGTGCAGACGTACGTACGAACGTACGCCCAAGTAGCTGCCTACTGCTGAATGTGCCCAGCTTCTATCAAGATAGTTCAATCATTGAGCATTAAAAATGATTTAGGTAATGTATATTAAACAAATTATTAAATAATAATAATAGCAATAATGATAAACAATTGTGATGCAATTCAGTACTTTAACTGTGGGGATTTGATTGGGATTGATTGGATTTGAAATAAAACCCATTCTTTGTTTAAATAGTTTATATTACCATAATTCAATTGCCAAACAAATCCAAATTAATAATGAAATAAAAGTATGTCTGAAACATTTACACTAAAAATTACAGCTATTCGAACTAAAGTAAATTATCTATAAAAGGGAATGTCTATCACTGCATTACATTATTTCAAGTAATAAGTCCCTGGGTTATATGAGGAGTTATTCGTCGTTTAAATGACAAACTTCATATGTAAGAAGATTATTATTAGAAGATTAATTCTTTTATCGATCATTGTTTATCAATGCTGCTTCAACCTCCTTACAAATTTAGGTGTTTCAGGTACTGTTAGAGATGCTGCAGATTTTTCCGGTACAAATGGTACAAGCACTGGTACAGGTTTTGCATGATGTATAAGTTTTGCTCGGAGTTCTGCTTTAGCTCTCTCTTCTGATTCAAGTCTTTCTTTCTCTTTCATCTGTTTAATTCTTTCCATCTCTTCTTCCTTTTCTCTCAATTGCTTCTCAAACTTCTCTCTCTCTGCTGCTCGTTTCTCTGTAGTCAGCTCAAATGGAACAGGTTTTACTATATGCAAAGATTGCAAAACTGGCTTAAATGGTTCTTTGTAAAGTACTATAGGTGGCCGAGCTTCAAATTTATGATTTTCCTTATTCTCTGAAGAAGCAGTGGATGAACTGCCTTTAATAGTGGCACACTTCATTTGTTTCTTTACAGCACCTGGTAAGGGTTGGGCTTTGAACAGGGAGGCCTGTTTTCTTTCTTCTTCAATTTGTTTTTTTATTCTTTCATCCCTACGACGTTTCATCTCCTCATCTCTTTTTTCAAAAGAGAAAGGTTCTGGTTTAACTGGTCCTTGTCTCAGGCACTTCTCAACTAGTTTCTGGGATGGCTTTTCATTCTTCAGTTGATCAGCAGAATTTGTCCTTTTATAATGAAATTTAGGACTGATTGATTTTGTAACATGGACTGGAGGCTTCACTGGCACTTGTGGTTTTTGAAGAATATGTTTGGGGGCAGGTCTAGCTTTAAATTTCTCAACTACTGGGGATGCAATAGGTTTTTTATGGATCTCAGTTAAGTGAAATGGTTCAGGAACTGTCACTGGCTTCTTTGGTACATCTGGTAGATTTATAGGCCCTTCCATCACAGACTTAGGTATAGGATGAGCTTTGATCTTATATTTTTTTAATTCTTCAAGTTCTAGGTCTTCCTTTTCTTTTTGTGACATTACATGTAGAGGCCGTGAACGCGCTTTGCAACGGAGCATGGGAGACTGAGGAACTGTGAGCCCATTAGGGCCTGCACGTCCTTGGGTTCTAAATATTTGAGGTTTAGTTGAACGAAATCTACCCGGAGTATCTCTTTGATAATGGTATATAGCCTCTGCCATGGACACAAACTTCGTTTTGGACAGTTCTTGTGGTCCCGCTGTCGGTCTCCGATATCTTTGGTACACATCATCATGATCACTGAATTCCAACTTAACAAGATCTTCACGAAGGGCTGCAATGTCGTTCATTGACAATGATTTTCTCATCGAGCCGTAATCGTTCTCGTAACTATCCAAATTATTATGTTCACCAAAGTCTTCTTCAATAGGAGTGACCGGTTCGTCTTTTATATTCATTTTAGCATTCGGTGTGAAAAAACTTTCACCACGAAAATTAGTCACGTAATTTTTGGCCATTTTCTGTGTTTCGAAATACACAAAATAAAAAGTATATTCCCTCAACAGTGGATTTTTTCAATCTCGTGTTGTCGTTATTTTCAAACTCTGACAGAAGTATTTTTTATTTGTGTCCTGCTTGGGCAGGCCACAGGAACGATTTCATACAGCCAATATTTCCATTTTATAAATCTTCAGTTTAACAAATCTCAAAGGGAAAACTATCATCAGCCAAGACAAAATCATTTTACTACCGCAAACACGAAATGGTGTTAGTGCTTATTTTTAGAATGATTTTTTATTCAAGGCGACAGTTCTTGCGATTTATTAACTAAAATAACTAACTTCAAATGAATGCGGAATTACTCCTCAAAATTAAGGTATTTAGAAGTATTTATATTTTTAATAATTTTACAATTTATTTTTTCAAATTTAGATTGGTAAAACTCTCGCAGGCTGCAGGCATAACATCAGTTTGAGTTACAGGTCACGTTAAGGCTATGTACAAATATCATATTAGAATTTGTGTATTTCACACAATACTTGACATAGTTTACCTTTTATAAAACAATTTACCAACAGCTGGTACGCCGAATCTGTAGTCATGGGGAAATATTAAGATAATCGTGTAGCTAAATCAATCCCGTAAAAAAATATAGTGTAATGATTACTGGTGGTACGGAATATTGTAATCCCACAAGAATAGGTACTACAATCCGACCTATTTTTACTGCGAACAATCATGTGTTTCGACATCTGTTTTATAATATAAACGGTATATGACGATATTCTCTCGGTATATGACGATCATTACTCAAAACTAGATAAACCGTGACCTTGCTAACCAACGTACAATCATAAAAAAGTAAATAAAATATCAATATATTTTACTGACACTGCAAATTTATTTACTGGTATCACCGAGTAATAAATTCGAGTAAACAGTTTTTCAGAAACAGGAGTGTTGAATTGAATTAATTACGAAGAAAATTTATGTGATTCAATTATTTCGCTAAATCTACATAACTTTTTCGTAGCACACAATTAATGAGAGAACCTAACATAACTAAACAAAAAAAAATTCGAACTGAATTTAGCAACAAAATATTTACTTCAAATTTCAAATCGCAGCCATAACATTTCCGAACGCTTCTCTTAACTTTTAGGACTTATATGTCACATGTCATTTCATGATTCCATACTATGAGTAGTAATTCCAAAATACAAATTAAAAGTTGTTTTTAAGTACTATGCTTTATGAAATTAAATAATCTACAAGTTGATTGTCATTACAGTAAATAAATTCCACGAAATCTTCGTACGCAGAAAAAAAATGACGCAAAGTTCATTACCGAATCCAAACACGTTACTGCCTCTGGAACTTGTTGACAAATGCATTGGTTCCCGCATTCATATCATAATGAAAAACGACAAAGAAATGGTTGGAACTCTACAAGGATTCGATGATTTTGTAAACATGTTACTAGACGATGTTACCGAATACGAATCGACACCAGAAGGACGAAAAATAACTAAGTTGGATCAAATTCTATTAAATGGCAATAACATAGCGATGTTAGTGCCCGGTGGTGAAATGCCTGGAGAATCATACGATGGATAGTGATTTTATGTGATGATTTTCTAAATAAAACAACATTTAAACCTGCAATCTGTGTTTTGATCAACATAATCCTGACATTGAGAGGTCAATCTTTGTATTATTAAGTTACAGTCACAAAAAAAGTAACTTTAAATGAAGTGATTCACTTACTTGTGGTTGTGTAGGTCCATAATCATTTGATGTGTCAGTGATTTCAAGTTTAGCGGTTGAAGTTGGAGGGCGACTCACTTTATCAAAGCAGGCATCACATACTCTAACCTGTTAGTATAAATAGTAGTTTCTAATGATTCAATTTCGAAAATAATTTTAGACTAAGTATGCCATTGACGACGGATAACATTACTAAAAATTAGACATTGTGTAGACTAAAATAACCACAAAAAAACAATACTTTCACACAAAATTGATTAGCCATGATTGTTGAAAAGTTTTACATTGTAAATTATTAAAAGTATGTAAGTGAAGATGGATATATGGGGAAATTTTTGACATTTTTCTTTTTAATGTTGTCATATTAAACTAGCTTTTTATAAAGAAATGTTATATCTACATTTATTTCATAAAATTAAATCATCAATTAATTTTTCGTTTGTGTTACTCCACAATAGCAGTAAAGAATTTAGATGTTATGGTCTATTGATTCATAAAAAGTTAGAATAGATATTAATTGATGATGATGACGTATTTGTAATATAAATCATCAATAACTATCATTATTAGTCAATTTGCAATAAATCATGAAGAGTGCGGTGGTAGAGCGCTCCAATTCTGTGAATCAGAGCATGACATTTCTTACAGCCTGAGGTTATCACAGACTGTTTTTCTTTGCTGCTCCTAACAAGTCTATGGTCAATGCACAACCTCTGTCAGGGAGACTGCTACTGTAGGATCAGGTTTTGAATGGTTTTAAACCAGTAAATGTAGGTAATTTATATTGCAGTTACAGATAAATAAATAAATAAATAATAAATAAATATTTACTAACAATCACGATACAAGTTAAGTACATTATACTATTAGTAATTTATAGCTAGAATATTGATAATTGTACCTACCTCTTTCTCAATTCCGAATTTAGGTAGAGTTGATGTTTTAGAGCTGCATTGTTGACAAAACACCTGACCACATGCTCGACAGTGATGGCGACGTACCATCAATGAGAAAGCAATACGGCATCTGTTACAAAAAGTATATTGAAATCTTTTCTTACATTAGCAGTCTGCCTTTTAAATTAATTTAGAATCACAACAAGATAAACAATATATGATATTTATGTAGAGATTTGTATAACTTCCCATATAGGAAATTTCGCAAAATTTAATGTTAGTAAAAACTTTGTTTTTTCAAAATTAATGAAAAATTGTCATCCTGATCCTGAAACTCATTGAAAGTTGCCTTATTTGTTTACATCCTTTTGTCATAATATAAACTGTTTCAAACATCAGTATTAATGTGCTCTGTGCATGTTTATGTATGTAAAAATAATATTCTAAATGGATGGCCTGGAATTGGTAACGAAAAAGCACTAAAAGTTATGAGAATTGCAAACCTGTGACAAACTTCTCCATCAGCCCATTCCGGTGCTGTATCAGCAGAGAACATTGCATCTGATTCCTTTAATGCAGGAAATTTGTAACCTTCAGCCTTTAATATATTCACTGTATCCTGTTTGCAAAGAATATTTAAAATAACATAATTTTTTGAGGTAATTTCAATCTCTGAAAATTACAGTTTACAGTAGCATTTTTTTGCTCAACAAAGACTATTTGTGTTGAATTTTTACCATCTAGTTACTTTGTTTGTATGACTCATTCTGATAATGATAAGGCACGACAAACAGGTAAAAATGAAGGCTGTGTGGCTTAGGTGTATTATTCTACTAAAATAGCAGTTTAAATTCGTAATTTGTTCATNGGTAATTTCAATCTCTGAAAATTACAGTTTACAGTAGCATTTTTTTGCTCAACAAAGACTATTTGTGTTGAATTTTTACCATCTAGTTACTTTGTTTGTATGACTCATTCTGATAATGATAAGGCACGACAAACAGGTAAAAATGAAGGCTGTGTGGCTTAGGTGTATTATTCTACTAAAATAGCAGTTTAAATTCGTAATTTGTTCATTACTATAATTTAGAATATGAAACTCTGTTAAATAAATTGAAGCATTATATCGAACATTGATATGGATTTTGCAATGTAAACAGAGTAATAACAATAAATTACCATGGGCCTGATTATTAAATGAACGGCTCAATGAGTGTAGGCGTTAGCGTTTACTCATGTAGTGAAGTTTGAGATGGAATGATCACTTACATTCTGAATACTTATTCAATTTTATAGGAGACAAGTGACGAATAGAGGGATAACGTTAATTAAATTAAAGAACTACAGTGTTGTGATCAATACCGCCAACGTGACGCACACGTAACAATAGGTATCGAAAGTACAATGAACTGTCTCTCGCGATGGCTGTAACATGTACGGCGCACTTTTCTGATCTGAGAATCGTACTTTGACCACATTTCTGTACACCACACGGTATGGTTTAACATTGTGTTATCCATAAACAAAACTGACGGGCTACATTTCTTAAGAATGAGAAAGTCTAAAGTATGTTCTTTCTCAGAATTTGGTTAAATGTGATAAATAAAGTTTCGGGATCGTCGAAAATGTAAAGAATATTACTGACATGCATTAAAGTAGATACTTATTAACGAAAACAGGGTGATGTCATCTAGTATAAGCACCATACCCTTTCTTACCGTAAGGTCGTAAAATGGGACCACAGAATTCACTGAGAAATGATCAGTAGCATTCTCTAATTATTATACACATAAATTGCGATTGCTATGCGATTGCCATGCGTCGTTTACTCCTGCCGCTCACAGCCGGTGCCCTACCCCGGACCGGGCCGGAGCCCAGTCGGGGCAATTGAGACGGCGGGACAGGGTTGACGCAGAGCATATTACATCCATCCCGCCGTCCCACAGACGCCGGACCAGCGGCCGCCGGCGACACGACCACTGGTTCCCTCGGTCAGTAGGCCGAGAACCCGCCTTGATGGCGCCGTGCTACACCTTCCCCCGGAGCGGTCGGGGGAACGCGGTCTACCATTACTCGGTTTCCTACTGCGGGCGAGTGTGCAAAGCACGCCGCCCCACGTCTGGGTCCCGCCCCGCACAAAACGGAGCTCTTAGGGGGCTGGGTCATGGATACGACCCCTGCTTAGCGGCGGCGGATTTTAGCGTAGTGAGGAGAGCTTTGCCTCACTCGCCCAGCCGCCTCCTTCAGCGAGATGGTGCACTCGCAGAAGTCGTGCATAGCTTTCCAGGACTCATCGCCGCCGAGCATCGACGCCACGACGCCAGGCAGCGACAAGTCAAGTCCTATCTATGCGACCAGGACACAACGCTGCGTCTCCCAAGCGGGACAGTGAGGGCGTATGCTCCGCCGTATGCAGGTTGCGTCCACAATGGTGACACCGGTGCAGGTACTTCCAGAAGCATCCGTGCCCGGTCTGCACCTGCACCAGAAGAAAGGTGAGGCGTCCTCCAACACAATTCACCTAGTCATCAAAGACCGGGTAAACCGCCTCGACGGTCCCACGTGTAGTCCCCATGTGGCGTAGGCCAATCGCCTCGACCACGACTCGAGTACAGACCTCGTTTACTGGTGGTGGATTTTAGGGTAGAATAGCCGTCATATATCACAGTCGAGCTTTCGCTCTTATATCGCAGGGTGGGTGGTGCATTCACACTGATATGAATGTACACCTCTACACATACATTACTTCAGAAAACAAATTTTCAACAATACATATCCATGAAACCACGTACCTGAACTGCTCGATATTTAGGAGAATTTCGAAATGCAAAAGCCCACGCCTGTATGAGTTCCAAGATTTTGCTACGAAGATTCTCATGCTGGGTCGTTTTCACCAGATCACGTAACATTTCGCAGAATGCTTTTGATGTCACTTCGTCGTGTATTCCAGAACCTATATGAAATATCTAATGTTGTACATTCGGAAATGGAATTGGTTGGTTAAATGGGTCAAGCTGATTTTGGTTGATTGCAGGACATACATATTACTTTGAGTCAATTAAAAAATTCTTGTTAATAGAAGTTTTGTTTTTTATTTCTATGAAGGCAAACTGGTTAAAGGCCGGTAAGATGTTAAGTGCAACAGGCATGAAGATGCAGTAATAGTAAAAGCACAGCTTACTACAGCTTTTCAGTTTTAGTATATTCAATTTGTATTACTATTGATGATCCCTTATACCTTGTATTGTAAATAATTTCTCTTTAGTTCATAATACCTCTGTAATATTTTATACTAACATTTAATTTAATCATAAAATATGACTATGCAGTTTTGCTGGATGTGTAATGAAATGATAGTCTCTGCTTGTTACAACTTATTAAAAAAACATACCACAATTTTTTACAATGCTTTCTAATGTAAGTAAAGCAAACATAGCTTGATGAGGATTCTGAGAGTATAATTTCTTTTTGACTGCTGCAACTGCATATTTTGGTCTGAGAACAAAACAAATTTACCAACATTAAATCACATTTAAAAAAAAATACAAACTTATTATCTCCCTATATTATTTGAGCAGATAAATGTTTACTCATACAAATTACATTATAATTTGATTACGTATCATGGGCATTCATATGTAGTCTTTAAACTGTTTTCTAAATGATGATAACAATGATATATGATTTAAAACAAATATGCATTTAGCTTGAACATTATTTATGAGCAAATATTTATAACGTCATTGAATATTTTTGTTTGCTTAGAAAGGCAAATAAGGTAGCTTGAATTTACAGATCACAATGTAAATTCCATTTTAAACCTTGAAACATCAAATTCTTAGTTGCATCAGAATATTGTTATCCTATTGTACAAAAGCACTAAGCTCCACTATAGGAAACAGTCCTCAAATATACAAAAGTTCTCAAAAGTGGGTAATATGGATGGGTGGCAATCACAGAATGTGAGCCCATTCCACACTGCATCTATAATTGCTTTACTTGTTTCTTTGCTCTCTAAAGTAATGCTGGTTATAGCTGGTTTAGTAATTCCAGATCCCGGGATATTTTAAAAATTGCCAGATGATTATTGACTGACAATATGAATTCTGTATTATACGACTGGCAACCTGCTTGTATACCAAATTCATTGTTCTCTCTCTAGTTGTATGTTTCTGATAATTTCATATATGGATTATGAGAGAGGCACTCGAGACAAGCAACTCATAAATTTGGTTCAGGAAAGACGATCAAAGCTCATATTGTTTATTGTCGTGGGGAATTCTGAGTAAAGGCTGTCCAAGTTGAGTCAAACAGATGAAAACTAGAGTAGCTATCTGCAGGGCCTCACATTTTGATCACCAAATTCAGAAGTACGAAAGGGAATTTTTAGAATTGGGATGGTGGTCTTAAAATCCCTGTAAGTCTTATACAAACCAGGCAAAATTATGTGATAATTCACCATGAATAAGAAGCTGTTAAGTTTTTTTTTATTCTTTGTATTGAGATTTTTGGGTTTCTTATTTTAAATTTTCAGTATTAGAGATAGTTCAGTATAGAATAAAATCAAAGTGGAAAATAAGCTTTCAGAATCCAATATAGTAATATTTCATTTGTTTTTTTATCTGCATGTCAATTTCTATATATATATCTATTTAGTTAAATTTATATAAGTATCTATTTAAATCTCTGATTTTTATGGTATATTATAAGTATAGTATGGTGTATCTCTGGTATATTATACATGTACCTTTATAATTTTAGGCTCTTTGTACTCTTGAGCTGTTGCTCGTTCACTATTGTATGATCTATATTTCTATCATATAATATTGATTTTTTTAAAGTTTTTACAAACCTATAGATCTATACTGCATATTATCTTTGTCAGTTAGTTTTTCAGAAACATAACTGTTTGTTAGAGAAAGTTACTGTTAGATTGAAGAAAAAAAAACTTAACAAGAAATTGTCAGTTTTTTACTTACGTGCAATCATTTTGTCTGATCAAATCACAAATTTGTAATATCGTCGGCCAATCAGGGTCTAGGCGTAGATTACTGGTAGCTTTATCTAAAAAAGAAAAAAATATATAANTTGTCAGTTAGTTTTTCAGAAACATAACTGTTTGTTAGAGAAAGTTACTGTTAGATTGAAGAAAAAAAAACTTAACAAGAAATTGTCAGTTTTTTACTTACGTGCAATCATTTTGTCTGATCAAATCACAAATTTGTAATATCGTCGGCCAATCAGGGTCTAGGCGTAGATTACTGGTAGCTTTATCTAAAAAAGAAAAAAATATATAATTTTGTTAGTAGCTGTAATTTAACTACTGATAATTACTTTCGTCATTAATTATTAACGACCCTAAGCCGTTACGTAAAAGTTGTTCTATTGTTTAAATGTGTTCTCGAAACAAATGTTTGAGAAAAGCAATTTATGTTAATCAGTAAAAGTATTCTATTGAAAAACATTTTTTTTTGACGTAATGATTGATCTACATTATGAAATTTACATACCTAGCAATTTATCAAAATTATTTGCACGAAACATTTTTCAATTAGATTGTAACTAGTATTTTAGAAAATCAACAATAACATTTATAATATGAACAAAAATTATTTCAGTAGATACTGATATGACATGACACTAGCCATAGATGACAGTACAATTTTTGTCAATTTTATTGTTTTTTAGGCAGGTATACACACTGATTTTTGTAAGGGATTTTACGACCTGGTAACCAAGACCTTTAGGTCAAGTCTTATTTTAATTTAAATTCTTATTTTTATGAAAAATTATTATATAAAGTGAAATGAAATGAAATGAGATGAGATGATATGGTATGAAATTTAATCTCAGTAAAATAGTGGTCATTTATTGAGACTTTTTCAGTAAACTTTTTAGAGGATCCAGAGAATTTCAACGGCTGTGTTTCATTTGCCCCCATTTGTGCACTTTCATAGATACTAAACAGTTAATAAGCCACCGTTATGACACATTTAAACCTTTAAATGTGTCATAACGGTGGTTTATTAACTGTAGAAACACTAAATAAAAAAAATAAAAAAATCACACAACATCACTCCTCGCGTTCCCGCCAAAAAGTCCGGTACACTCCGGTTTTTTTTAAAGGGATTTTATGACCTGGTAACTGAGACCTTTAAGTGATGTCTTTATATCCATATTTTTATGTAAAATGATGATTAATTTGAGATATTAATCAACTGGGATGAAACGAATTGAGATGATATGGGATGAAATATAATCTCAGTAAAATGGTGGTCATTTACTAAGATTTTTTCAGTGAACTTTTTGGAGGATCCCGAGAAGTTACGTCCAGCGACTTTGTTTAATTTTCCCACATTTGTGCACTTTCACAGATATTAAACAGTTAATAAACCACCATTATTACGCATTTAAACCCGAAGAAACACTAAATAGACAAAATAAAAAAAATCACACAACTTCACTCCTAGCGTTCCCGCCAAAAAGTCCGGTACACATTGAACGCTACATCGTGCACAGATTAATCACACAACACTCAGCATGGACAATTAACTTTTCCAAACCCAAAAAGATAAATTGGAAATAAATCTACTTTTTTAAATACATGTAACTTACTATATGGCTTTGTGGCAGGAATGCAAAAGGTCTGGCGCCTAGTAGTGTAAATTATTTTATTTTGTTCATTGTATTACTTTAAGAGTAAAGTGTAATGCTGGTGGCTGATTAATGAAATGAAACATAAGCGCTAGATGGGGCTACTCCTGCTCTTGCAAAAGTTGACTGAAGTCTGAGTAAGTTCTTACCATTTTAGTGGGACTTTATTTCATAATTCTGATGTTAATATAATTACAGTTTCCGATAAAAAATCATTTAATTTCATTCTATTATTTTTTATAACAAGTGTGTTCTATGTAAACACTTATAGTTGAAAAATAGACGAACTTGACGATTATAGTAGCATTGGAAAAACCTGTTTGGCATACCAAAACAAAAGAAAAATAATTTGACAATAATTCATGTTAATTCTTTTTTCATTTGATTTGGCTTTTACTGGCGACACCTGTTACAATATACTGAAACTTTATAATACCATCTATCACGACAAGATGACGCTAAAAGTAGGTATTAAAATTAATTTAATACAAATTTTAATTAACATTATTAATTTTACAAGAAAAAATTTAGCCTTTAGTATTACAAAAAAACGTGTCAAAAAATAGATATTATATTGGGCAATACATTGCATCCCTTGTAATATACATAACACTATTAAACGGTGTATCGCGAAGAATTTCGAATTAAGAAACTTTAGCCGAAGAAATTTTCAGAGAAATTTTGTGTTTTTGCACCGTATCTATTCTATTCTACCCAAGATTCACATGAAAGTTTATCTTTATCGTTATAATGATCGCCTTATCGTTGCCGCCGCTGACTGTTTCCCGATCATGCAAGAGCCAGTCACCGTCTACGCCCTAGACACGTCCTTACGGATCTATCAGATCCAATAACCTTTGCCTTAGACGCCTTCAGCTCTAACACTAGGAGCACTAACTCTTCACTAACTTAGGGACCCCGGTAACCGTACTCGTAGAACTCGACAAAGAGTTCGACGTGCAACCTAACCCATGCATCAGCCCGTTGAGTTTCTCGCCGGATCTTCTCAGCGGGTCGCGATTCCGATCCGGTAGTAGATTCATTCGCGAAGCAGCTGCTCTTGAGCTGTTAGGTCCCATTTGGAGGCGCTCGGGCAGCTGTTAGCAAATCCCACCGCTCCTGGCTGAGCCTTTGCTCGCCCATCTGTCCTGGTGAAACTGGAAAGGCCTCCGGGCCACCAGTAATCCTTCAATCATAAAAAAAACTATCTATAAGTAGCACAGCAACTATATATAATACTTAAATGTATTTTTTTTTCGTGATTCGTTGGGTTATTACTTGAATTAAAAAAAGTCAGATTCATTCTGATGAACAAAAATAAAATCACCGTTCGTAGCTAACCTTCGTGTAGTATAATATCAGTAGATATTCTTATCTGTCCTCTTTATGACGCATCATATGTATGTTCACTATCTAAATTTAGATACGTATGAACGTATTTTAATAAGTGAAAACTAAAATCACGCCAGTATGCCTAAGTAAACGGGTTAAATAAGAGTGACACCAACAATTCTGTATTTAATAGTATATTACTTCAAACAGTGTAATGTGCACAATCGTGGGAAAATACCTGAAAGCCCAGTTTGACGCAAATAGTAAAATTTTGTCAAGACTTGATACGGATTTACAAAGCTGCACCACTCAGCTAACGGCGTTAAAGCTACTTGTGTCATCGCTTCAGATACGAATGTCAGCGATGCAGACCATGTACAGAGACACAATGGAACTTAGAAAACTAATTGTCGTAATACATCCACATCTTCGGAAGGCAAGGTAGCGAATTGAACACAGACATGTATTATTCGTCTCTAAATTTAAAAGTTGTTATAAAATAGTCGAAGGACCTGGGCTGAACATAACGGTGAATTGATGCGAATGGTCTCATCGAATTTCGAATAGTTGACAACGTAACCTTGCCTCTCTCTGTGATAATCAACGACTTGAACAAACCGATGTCCCCACAAGATTTCCCTTGCAATGTAACTCGATTTAGCTTGCACCGGCTGACCTGTGGATTCTATAACACCTTCAAAAACTACAACTACTTCAAGCTTCGATTTCAAGATGTCATTAGCCGATAACGTGAAAAACGGACTATTTTCATCGATGACATGCACAACAGAAATAGGAAATATAAAGGGCACATTTTCAGCTGAATTAACTGATAAGCTCAGTTTTAATTGTTCATTCAATAAATCGCCGGAGTTGACGCATCGTATAAGGTAGGCGTGGACTCTAATGTCAATGATCCTAGATTTTCTTGTATTCCCAACGCGGAATATCAAGCACAAGTCGCAATCTCTCTGATTGATAATGGCATGCTTAGAGAATATTAGAGTTTTCGCTCGACTTTTCGGTCTTGTTAATTTCGCAAATACGATACCCACTATGAACGACTGGGTTATTGTTCCAATAATGCTTTCAAGGCACATAGCTAGCCACGCTGACGGACATTCCAAAGTAATAGTCCTGCTTCCGTAGCCGATGGTCGTGTGAATTTCTATGCTGAAGAGGAAAATCGAAGTAAACCCAAAAATTTCGCTTACGCATGGCTTCCATTCTGTAGACATATTTGCGTGAGGCATGTGGTTCTCTGTTAAATCCCCGTGCGAATACAAGATAACCCACCACACCATTGTGAAGAAGAGCCATATAAAAACATAAGTGAGAATGCAGTACACCAAGGTCCACCTCCAACGCGCATCTATAAAAGCAGTCACTACATCTGGAATCACATGATATTTGGATTTCTTTGATTTCTCTAGGTTCACGTGACCCGATTTAAAAATCACTCGCTTTAATACTTTCCTGTGAGTCGAATTTCTTTGGCAGCATCTAAAAAATAGTATTTTTTATTTATTAAAGATATAGTTATTTTTTTATAAAATAATTTGTAATAATTCCATATTTGACTTTTTTTAAGTTCTTTGGAACTTTGCTATCTAACTTACTTGTGTAAATGCGTTCTTTTGTTGGAACTATTAACTGTCGATTTTTCTATATCACCGTCGTCAATTTTTGTGACGAGATTCACATTTTCGTCGTAACGCATTTTGAGCAACAAATTTTTGCAATAAACAATTTTATAATAACTAAACGTGAGTTTATTAACCAATGTCAACTGCAACTGAGAAGTCGTAGCTTCCGTAATGAAATCTACGAGAGATACTGATTTAATCACTTTATTTGAATAAGAACATTGACAAATTTAAAGTAATTTAGTCTTCAAATAAACACTTGGGTTTTTATGAGTATGATTTCAGAATTCGGCATCAATAGAATGGTATTAAATTTCATAAGTACATAAATGAAATAATTAAAACTACTTTTACGGCTTAATCTCTCTCTCGATATTTTATCAGGTTGATGTTACGGAATTGATTACGGAAAAGACAATTCTGTATAATAACCGGTAATTTATTCCAAAGGTACTCGGTTGTTGTGTAACTTTGACAAATTATATATTTAATAAGCAGCGGTGGCAATCATCTTATAAGATTTGATAAATACCACCACCAAATACTCGCTGAAGAAAACAAATAAATTTCAAGCATGGCCTCCCACCAATAAAAAAAACCACCCCAACTTAAAAAAAAATGATTGAAGCTTATTATCTGAAACCCTCTCTCTCATCGTGAAGATGAAAATTCAAGCCTCCAAACTGCCAGACTCAAAATACTGTTTATTTTTTCTGTGCGAGATGAAAGTAGAAATATTTTTATAACAAAACAAGACTGTAATCAGCATTCAATATTCAAATGTCAACGAATAACATATCAGTCGTTCGTGATCACGAAAATCCTAAACTATTCGATACATCGGAAAAAATACAATAGTAATAAGAAACGAGCGTTTGAGCCGTAAAAGTTGCTAATTATGTCTACGTGTCGCGATAATGCTCCATAATTGTAAAATATTGGAAATAAATTTTAATAAAATATAAATACGTATCATTTTAGCTAATCTATATATTGTTAATGCCTGAAATAAAAAAAGGTCTTAGCAGACGCATCCGCGTCACGCGAGATCGTTATTTGATAACGTATTCCAAATTTCTTATTTAAATTACAATTATTGTTAATAAGTAGTTTCTTTTAAGTAGTTATTGCTAAATTTTTATTTTATTTTAATTGTTAAATTTATTTTAATTTGAAATACTGTCCTTTTTTCGAACAAATTTCCATGAATTCCAGTTAATCTAGTTGTTTCCGGTCACCTGCATAATGTCAGAAGCCCATGGTCTTAGTGATCTACCAACATTCTTTTCCACTTTGGTGTTTCCCAGCGGGTAGTTTCAACGGTTTATCTTTTATCCGTGTAACTTGGGTTGTAGCCAACCTACTTCCATTTTAAAGTAAGTACATATCTGAGAGCGTTAGTTCCATAATCTTTAATATGCTCTTTTCCCGTATTCTTGAGTACATTTGCGTTTCTGCTTCACTCTTTATTTATAAATAAGATTGAGTGATACGTATAGAGCTATATTGATGCATATCACTCAACAACGACATGGTAGTCTATAAGATTCACAGCGATACATACCGTTTTTCTTGTCATCTGCATTGTATGAAATTCATCATCTCATCAATATTAATCATTATGAAAATTAAGAATCTCATCAAATTCGTGTTCGGTACTGATACATATTCTGCCTATTTCTGCCGTGAAGCAGTAATGCGTTTCGGCTTAAAGGGCAGCCGTCGTACTGTCACAGCTGAGACCCTAGAACTCTTGTCTCAAATTGGTTAGCCGCATTTACTTTGTAGATGGATATGGGCTCCGGTAACCATTTAACTCCAGGTGGGTCGTCCACCCATCTATGTAAAAAATAAATAAATAAATAAACTTAGAGAGCTTTCTAAACAAATTTATCAAATAAAACATTTATTATCATAAGTGTTAAATTTTATAATAATAAATCTTATATTTCATAACATGCTAATGTAAAAAAAAACTTATACAAGCGAAGACCTTTGATTACCTACATTTGAGGGAATACCACTCCTAATTATCGTAAACAGAAAAAAAACTCTCCGTATTAGTATTTTGGATATATTAATTGAATGCAAATAACATATTTGCCTATCTCTATTCTACATTTTCATAAAGTGCAAAAGTTTTTTTTCCGTCAATTTTCTATACAGCTATATCACTTTCAGTAATTACACCGGTCTCGGAATAATGCAGCGGTAACCTGACATTCTGTAGATATCCATTTGCAATGTTTGCGACTGGCTTGAATGGATTTCTCACAAGGTCATGAGTCACTCCAACAACCGGGATGTGGATTTTCTGCAGTCCGGTGCGTGGCAGGAAAAGTTGCGGCCATGACAGTCGAAAGAGCAGTCAAATGGGGTCCGTAATTCGATAATCGACGTGCTCTTGAATGTTCCACGCCGCTGTCAGGTCATCTGTCATCGGTGACTTTGCGTATAAAGCCTAATAGCTATTTATGAGGACACCGCTGCCGGGTCGAGTGAGAAATAGTTGATTCGTTTCAAAGAATATAAACATTTCGATGTGCCTTTTTCTGCAATATCTTTTACTGCTGAACATTTTTAGCATCTAAGACCATCATTACTACTGCTGGGAGCTGAAAAAATACTATTTCTAACTGATTGATTGTCCTAATGAAAGTACTCGTAATCTTTTGCAAAATAATTTCAAAAATNCATGGTAGTCTATAAGATTCACAGCGATACATACCGTTTTTCTTGTCATCTGCATTGTATGAAATTCATCATCTCATCAATATTAATCATTATGAAAATTAAGAATCTCATCAAATTCGTGTTCGGTACTGATACATATTCTGCCTATTTCTGCCGTGAAGCAGTAATGCGTTTCGGCTTAAAGGGCAGCCGTCGTACTGTCACAGCTGAGACCCTAGAACTCTTGTCTCAAATTGGTTAGCCGCATTTACTTTGTAGATGGATATGGGCTCCGGTAACCATTTAACTCCAGGTGGGTCGTCCACCCATCTATGTAAAAAATAAATAAATAAATAAACTTAGAGAGCTTTCTAAACAAATTTATCAAATAAAACATTTATTATCATAAGTGTTAAATTTTATAATAATAAATCTTATATTTCATAACATGCTAATGTAAAAAAAAACTTATACAAGCGAAGACCTTTGATTACCTACATTTGAGGGAATACCACTCCTAATTATCGTAAACAGAAAAAAAACTCTCCGTATTAGTATTTTGGATATATTAATTGAATGCAAATAACATATTTGCCTATCTCTATTCTACATTTTCATAAAGTGCAAAAGTTTTTTTTCCGTCAATTTTCTATACAGCTATATCACTTTCAGTAATTACACCGGTCTCGGAATAATGCAGCGGTAACCTGACATTCTGTAGATATCCATTTGCAATGTTTGCGACTGGCTTGAATGGATTTCTCACAAGGTCATGAGTCACTCCAACAACCGGGATGTGGATTTTCTGCAGTCCGGTGCGTGGCAGGAAAAGTTGCGGCCATGACAGTCGAAAGAGCAGTCAAATGGGGTCCGTAATTCGATAATCGACGTGCTCTTGAATGTTCCACGCCGCTGTCAGGTCATCTGTCATCGGTGACTTTGCGTATAAAGCCTAATAGCTATTTATGAGGACACCGCTGCCGGGTCGAGTGAGAAATAGTTGATTCGTTTCAAAGAATATAAACATTTCGATGTGCCTTTTTCTGCAATATCTTTTACTGCTGAACATTTTTAGCACCTAAGACCATCATTACTACTGCTGGGAACTGAAAAAATACTATTTCTAACTGATTGATTGTCCTAATGAAAGTACTCGTAATCTTTTGCAAAATAATTTCAAAAATATATACATATTGATAATGCGTGATTATAAATTGCCGTCAGACAGTAAAAAACATAGTAGGTTTCATACTTCAGTGGTAAAAATAGCCAATTAGCCTTCATAAAGTTTTTTTTTTTCGAATTGGTCGTTGACAATCTGTGTCACGGAAGAAAAAGATTTTACTATGATAAAAATGCTCATTATTTTTTATTTGTAACCGGATTTTTTTTAATTCTTTCTAAAATGTTGGAAGCTATTATTTGATGTTAACTACTAATCACTTTAATAACTGTTTCATTAACATTGAGGCTTCGACCTCATGCCGTGAAGCTCGAAATAAAAATTAAAACTTTGTACACAACGTCAAATGCCGGTCACCATTCTCGCCGAGCTCATCGCTTGCGACGAAGGGTTCCGCAAGTAAACTAATCCATAGACACAGCCCACTGAGTTTCTCGCCTGATCTTCTCAGTGGGTCGTGTTTCCGATCCGGTGGTAGATTCTGCGAAGCACTGCTTTTACTAGGGCCAGTATTAGCAACGCCTCCTGGTTTAAGCCCCTAGAGCTCATCTACACGCTAGGGCTACGCTGATATAGCCTAGGCTATCAGCTTAGGTAGGGAAAAAAATAAAAAATAAATGTTAAAACAACTTTTAAATACCTTTTTGTAACTAATATTAATATATTATTTTTCTTATTAAAACGGTTCTTCTACCTTCTCTTCCTTCTTAAGCCCACAGACGTCTACTGTTTGATATAGGCCTCACCGAAGCCTAGCCACAGCGACCGATCCTGCGCTGCCTGCACCCAGCAGATTCCCACGAATCTGCTGGGTGCAGGCAGCAATGCAAACCATTTTTCCATTTGTTCTACGAGCAATATGCCCTGCCCAATGACACTTCAATATCGCAATCCTTTGGGATGTGTCGGTTACCATGGTTTTCCTGCGAATCTCCTCATTGTTGATTTGATCTCGCAGGCAAACCTTTTTTTATTGCCCTTGCAGGCAGACGAGCATACGGCCCACTTGATGGTAAGTGGTTACCGTCGCTCATGCACGTCAGCAATGCCATAGCGCTCAATGTCATAGCGCTCAGAAAATACCGTGGTGAGGAGCTCATTCCAAAGCCGGATGGTACGTGGCAAAAATGATATCTGGAAACGCATTGTGGATGAACGCAGTGGCTCCAGGTAGAACGCAGTGGTTCCAGGTAAGTGCGAGCATAGCTCTCTTTATTGCTCTTTGGGTGAGCCTTCTGATAAGGCCCATTGTGAACGACCACCTCTCAGCGCCATATGTCATCACGGGCAACACACACTGGTCAAACATTTGCATCTTGAGACACTGTGGTATTTGTGATGTGAAGATTCTACACAGCTTTCCGAACGCTGCCCATCGGAGTTGGATTGGACAATTGACCTCTTTTTCAAAGTTTACCATATAAAATGGTTCTTCCGTATTCATTTCAAAATAACATTATAAATCGAATGCTTTAAAAAGTGTCGTAAGCTAACAGATTCCTTACCTATTAGGTACCTCTACGATCAAATCTTGAACGAAAATCCGGAAAACTTTGGTAAACTACAGCAGAACTAGTCACAGATAAGTCGCATGCTCGGGATTACAAGTGACTTAGTTAAAATAGCTGTCAATGCTGTAGTTAATAACGTAACAAAGGGAACTACAGTAGCCTTGGTCGCCAATAATGACCTACAGACTAGTTGTGGTCGATTTTCGTGATCGCAATCAACACGATCGTCTTATAATATCAAGACGAGTTTTTTTTTGACATGTCTTTTTTTTAAAGTTTAATTACATAATTTAATTGTTGTTAAACAAACTAATTCAATCAATTTTTATAATTCAAATAATTTCATCTAAGAATTATAATAATATATTAGGTAATAATCCAATCCAATACTGTGTTTGGAAAGTATATTTTGTTTGGCTGTCCATTTTTTCTTTTCTGCTTTATTGATGATAAACCATAGATATAAATTTGATTGTATGGCAGATTAGCTCAGGTTTAGTTGGGATAAGTTATAACGGGAGCCCATAGACTTCACAATCACCTTAAACATTATAAAAACTCTCAGTTGTATCGTGTTGTTGGTCGGCTGTACCACTCATCTATGGATACTTACTCTAGTGCGCTTTTGCATATATTTCATGCTATTTTTTCATTGTTGTTTTGAGCTCGTGTCGTCTACGTATTTTCTTAGAAACTTTTTATCCCACTATGTGATTTGAACAGCTTTGATGACGATGACTTCAATTGCTTTAGGTCACATCGAGTTTTGTAGCCGAAACAGTTAAATTACCTACTGTTGTCTCAATATGCACTCGTAAGTATAATTTAGGTGTTAATCCTATGTTTCATGGTGGATCCAACAATTGGTATGTATGATCAAGAGAAATATCAAAATTTTAATTTCATCCGTTAGTACGCTTTGTTTGTTTAAGAATGCCTCGGATAGGTTAGTTGCGCAAGAAAATGACCCACATTTATTGATTGAAGGGAACAACAATTTGGATACCGAACAAAACTGACTACTTCGGTTGGTGTGATAGTTAATAGTCATTGTGGATCTGAACTGGAGTGGACCAGAGTGGCAGAAAGAACTCGCAATAAGCGGAACTGAATCGAGTAATGCGGACCACAGATGACGGCTTCGAGGTCTGCTTTACCCTTTATTGTACACATTTATTGTCCACACATATACGCAATAAAAAATACATTTTTTTACATTACAAAAAATACATTTTTTTGAGTATATTATATGTGGACGGGGGTCCACAAATATACGCAAAAAAAGAGAATATTGGCAATCTTTAGAGGAGGCCTTTTTCGAGATACAAGCTATTTTGATAAACACATCGAAAGCCGAACGGAATACTTGATTATAAATTGAATTTAAATTTAATTTATTATTAAGTAATTTATTAAATTAGTAATTAGTAAGTAAAACAGCAATAAAGCTTATTATTATTGTTATTATATGTGTGGACGAACTCACAGCCACACCTGGTGTTAAGTGGTTACCGGAGCCCATAGACATCTATAACGTAAATGCCGCCACCCACCTTGACATATGAGTTCTAAGGTCTCAGTATAATGCAATGTACTATAAATTTTAGTAGTCAAAAAAGGAAAGAAAAAACATTAACTCAAATAACTCAAAAACTTTTCTTGCAGCAAACCACCAGAAGCTACAGACACATAATACAGAGCAAGTAACAAGCTTACAAAAATCAGAATATAATTAAAATACTTTATATTACTAGGTACCTTTTATTACTTTCTACATGATAATAAAGTATAAAACACATTTAACTCCTAATTATATTTTCGGTTGTATAGGTGAACGAATTTATGGCTCTTTTGTGTTAAGTGGTGACTGAAGTTTTTAGACGGCACTAAGTGAATGCGACCCATTCAATTTGTTATTATCCGCAACATGCTTCGTCAGATTACAGAAATAAAGTTATCAGCAATATGCTTCGCCCATTCAATTGAATGTTTCTTGTGCTTAACTCTCAATTGTATATTATAAAGGCTGATCCACCCTGAGGCTGAAGGGCAGCACGGTAGACACAGGCAGGTTGATGGTTACTACCCTTGTGGGCCCGGTCACCGTCCTGGTCGAACCCGTCGCTTGCGACGAAGGGCTCGACGAGCGAATTAACCCATAGACACAGCCCACTGAGTTTCTCGGCGGATCTTCTCAGTGGGTCGCGTTTCCGATCCGGTGGTAGATTCTGCNAGGCTGATCCACCCTGAGGCTGAAGGGCAGCACGGTAGACACAGGCAGGTTGATGGTTACTACCCTTGTGGGCCCGGTCACCGTCCTGGTCGAACCCGTCGCTTGCGACGAAGGGCTCGACGAGCGAATTAACCCATAGACACAGCCCACTGAGTTTCTCGGCGGATCTTCTCAGTGGGTCGCGTTTCCGATCCGGTGGTAGATTCTGCAAAGCCCTGCTCATGCTAGGGCCAGTGTTAGCAACACTCCGGTTTGAGCCCCGTGAGCTCACCTACACGTAACGGTGAAGCTGAAATAGCCTCTCAAGGCTATCAGCATAGGTAGGAAGAAAAAAAACCTTTGTGGGCAGACAAGACGTCCTATCAACAGCAATTACGAAAATTATAGTTTTGGGTGCTTAATTTGATTTCTATTTCATTGTTAAGTTATTACTGAACATATAAAAGTATATATTTCATTGGAACAATTGATATCAACTGCGGGATTTGAGGAGCGGTATAGCCGCATCGCTCGATTAGAGCATATCCGGCATCTTATTCTTTGTGCCGCGAGGCCTTTAGGTATATAGCCAAAACAAACTTGTTGAATTAATTAAATGTCATCGCCGCATCCGGTTCCAAAAAAGCCACATCCTAAGAAGAACCAGCGAACCAAACTCAACGGGCGAATCTTTTTTATACTTAATAATTTTTGGTTAATTTCTCTCATATGCTTACATTTCAATTGAAAAAATACAAATGAAATCAAGCGGTTTAAATCGAAAACCTTATATCGTGCTGTGCTATGCTGTAATCATTAACTTTAATGAATTTCAACAAAGTTTCAAAATTGTTTTTTATAATTTTCTTAAGCCTATGTATTTATTATAGGTAACATTTTAAGGCCTTTGTAGATAGACGAGTTTACGACTAACAGTACCAGGAGCACGGCTAAGTCCCTGTATACAACTAAGACAGGTCATAGTGCTCGGGAAACCCCGTGAAGGGGAGTTCACTCCAGAGCTGGATGATACCTGGTAGAAAAGATCGACAAAGAAATGCATTGTCGATGAACGCAGCGGTTCTTCATAATATGGATGAATGATTTAGGAATGATAATTTATTTAAGTTTTAAATTTCAAATCGGGATAGCTTGTGATAAATTATGATCATTAACAACAGAAAAATGACAAACAACAAAGCAATTTCTCTCTGACGTTGCGCTTGTTACGATTATAGAGCCAGTTTAACTAGGTCTATCTTTTGGTCAACAATTGAATAAAGTTAGGATACAGGTATGAAGTTCACATTTATTTGGTTATATGCAGTGTGATTGACAGTCAAGTGTACGAAAAATGGAACGTGTCGGTGAATGAATGCTGTTCACGTATGTAAGAAATTCGTAATTTGTTATTACTTTTAAACGATCACTGCTTAAATTTCATGTAGGTTAATTTGACATTTAAAAAGCAAGTGAACTTGATTACTTGAATTCAAACAATTTATAAATTTTTACTATTTTGTATTGTTTTACAAAGTGTTAAGTTTATTTCAACTAAATTAAAAATCACATTAGGTTGATGATGAATCGTCAAAGTCACTCAAGCGTTTCTATGCCGCATGGTCCTAAAAATGTCTAAGAAAATATTTTTAACTGTACTACACTTCACAGCCACGCCTATACCATTAGTCCCATACAATTTACTTAACAACATTACTGAACTCAAACAGGACATGCGAAATCTTATCGTGCAAAGGCCAAAAGCAAACGCAGTCAATTGTTTCCGAGCGCGTGGCCTGTTAACAAATAACAGCCGCTGACAATTGGATTAGATACCCGTGCAAGAGCACACGCTTCTACAGTCCACTCTATCCCGACACACGATGAGCTCACGAACTGGCCGAAATAAAAACTAGGTCCTAAAAAAAAAATTTAAATGAAAAGAACGACAATTTTTTTGAATTAACGAACAACTAGTGTTGTGTTGAGAATGAAAGTGATAACGTTAGTGTGAAATGCTAATCAACCAAATAGCATATAAAACTTTGACTTAAGGTGAGTTTTTATGTGTTAAACGTGAAACGCCAATATTTATGGGTTTGAACTGTGAAAAAACGTATTTTTTGTGCACTTGAGTATTACCAATAATATGTAATTCCATTTTCATCACACCACCTAGTTTAATTACCGTAAAAGTGCAAATATAAAACTACAGATTTCTTGTTCCTTTAACTTCAACGTAAGGTCTGTTGACTACCGATGCCAGCAACAAACTATGCGTAATTGTTTTGCCCATGCTATTAAAGATAAAACAAAACGCATTCAACACATTGTCAGAAGAGCAGCTAAATCTAGCCCTCTTGACATTTTAGAACACAATCATACATTCAATCATACATACAATCATTCCAAGAAAAGTTAAAAGATTGTGATGCGTGGTAGTGTCAAATTCACGTGACAAATACTTATCATATCATTTTGACGCCAAATTTTTAAATGTTCAATGGTTTATACAATGGTTTATTACTAAATGAGCAGCGAGCTAATAAAAATTAAATAAACAGTTTGAATCAAACTACGTATTATTGTCATTTTGAATTAATTACATACAATAACATCAAGCTCGTGAAGGGTGCACACCTGGTTGGTTGTAAACTGCTATTAATGTTCATTTGAATTTCAAATATACCACTATTCTAATTTGTGATTCATTCTACAACTTAGCAAACATACAAAACAGTGTTATAAGTTATAACTAATAACATAATTTATAAACGTATTCAAGAACAAAAAACATCGTATCAGATTATATAAACAAGAAAAAAAGGAAGTATTTTAGGGAAAAAAAATAGGGCTCTATTACGTAATATTATAGGAGGTAAGGGTTCAGGGGATCTGGGTAAAGACATTGACAAGTCGTGGAATATTGATGAATGAAATCCACGGAGTATCTCGCCGGATCTTCTTAATGGGTCGCGATTCCGATTTTATAATAGATTCTACGAAATACTGCTCTTGCTAGAGCCAGTGTTGGCAATTCTCTCAAGTTGAGTTTGTGAGCTCACCTAAGCCGTCCGCGCGAAGTTGGAATAGCCCCTTAGACTACCAACAGAAAGGTAGGGGGAAAATCTATAGTAAAAAATGTAGTTTCTACAAAAAAACACGCTAACCAAAATAATAATTTAGGTATAATTTTTCTGTCCGTATGTACGTTAGTGAACTCCTCCTAAACGGCTGGACCGATTTTGATGAGTTTTTTCTGGGTGTTTCAATCAATGGGATCGAGAATGGTCAGACCCGACATGACAATGTTTGTCAGGTCTGCTAGTTATTAATATATTTGAAGTTTATTTCATGTATCTTTTCTCGTAGTTTGTGTGCAGCTTAACTAGCGTATAAGTACTCATTGTATGTTTAGTTTCGAAATTACTATGAGAACGATTAGAGTTTTACGCACGGACACCACCCCTTCCCTTCCCCTACCCTTCCCCGTGCTTAATCTCAATCTGAAATTTTATGACTAATGATTTGAGATGTCTCTTGTTTTTTTAGGTCAATCCTGCCATCTAATTTTTATTATTGATAATAGCTATTATTTTAACAAACTATTAATTGACATAAATTTAAAGAAATTACAAATAGGCTAGTCACGAACATTCTTGTAGCATCAAAATATTGGAACTAATTTACAAATAAACTTTTTAGATTCTAAAAACTGTGACGTCAATGGTTCGTCTATTTATCAGAAATACCGGTCGATAATGACCAAATGTGCTATTTTGATGTACATAATATGCTATTAAATTCTGAATTAGCATCAAAATCTGTGCCGTAGTTTTTGCTTAAAATAGTAACAAATATCCATCGGTCCCCACAAACTTTTGCCTTTATAATAATAGTAGGATAAGTCTCTTCTTTACTTGTGTTAGTCACTGAACTCTTAAACGGCTCAACCGATTTTTATGATTTTGTTCTATGTAGTCCCTGCATAGTAAAATCGAGAAAACACCCGGAGGTGGCCTTTTTTATTTATTTACGGAAGAGTAATGTTTTCCAAGTCAAAACATTCATAAAAATAAAAATACTCAAGCAAGCCTCAGCTAGACGATCTTTCTTATGATAATTTTATGTTGCAAAATAATAGACACTAGTTGAGTTCATAATGCCTATATTTATTCACCAGCTGTTAGTTTTGCAGTTGAACAATTTGACGTTGAACAATAGTGTAGTGAAAGTTAATTGTAATTCTATTCAAATAGATGTTATTTATTGTGTAATATGAGGATCAGGAAATTACATTTGTATATTTGAACTGAGGTCCCTTTGCAATATTCTAGTATGCAGCGGTTTGGCTATGACATTTGAAAATATCGCTATATGACCTCCTCCTCCTCCTTCAGTCGATCGCTCATTGCTGAGCATCGTGATGCGCCCGCCTGTGACCTTTTTTTTGTAATTTGTAGCCACTTTTGTCGGTCAGTGGCACAGTGAAGTGCGTGGCTCAGTCTCATGTCCAGACGCTCGAAGATGGAGTGACCAAGAGACTCCATCTTTTTTGACTTCGAGCTCTAGATCATATAGGTATATGACAAGCCGAAATAAAATAAATAACGTTCCTATTGGAAAATTACGTATATTCAAATACACATGTTTTACATAACTGAAATGATTTTCTGATCACAGCGCACGTTCAACTGAATTTGCACAATTAAGTATTTTATGTAATGCATAAATAAACATTTGGTTATATATAATTAATGATTCTTATTTCTTACTTATCAATACTTAGTAACATATTATCATAATCATTATCATGTTCTAAAGATACTCAAATTAAGTGAATAAAATCAAAGACCTACTCAATCTTTAATCATTTAGAAGTTCGGTAGGCTAGTTTCATTAGAATGACTCGTATGTGGGTGAAGTGTCAACCAGTTGGGGACAAATGTAACATATCTAATTCTAGGTTGAGTCATGCGACATGCATGCATTTGTCTTTTTGCAGTTGGATATTCTTCTTGTAATATTGGTAAGATGTAGGATGTAATATTGAAAAATGTAAATAAAGTCCGTGCTCTGAATGTGGATTGAGATGAATTTAGTTCAATTCAACTTATTAAAGTAACAAGTGTACAAAAATGCGCACAACTTGAGCATTGTGCACTTGACAAGTGGTAGGGAATCCTGTGAGCCCACACGGCAATTTCTGTAATGAAGGAGTAATGCGTTCCGGATTGAAGGGAGAGACAGACATTAAGCTATACAATGAGACATATTTCAAAGTGATTGGTGGTAATCAAGTATCTCTATTGGCTCCAATAACTACTTAACACCTGTTGGGCCGTGAGCATATTTACATACTCATCTACGACATGTCCTACTTTAAACGTGGTTTGGGGAGAGTCTCCGGTCTCCTATTCTTCTGGTATTGCTGACGTTTATGAGCGACAGTAAACGCGTGGTTAGCATGTCTGCTAAAACAAAATGTCACAAATACCCTCGTAACAATGACTCGTGGAAAGTGGAAAACCATAGAGCTGGTAGCACGACAATATGTGTAGAGTTAGTCCAAAACAGTGGCGCATAAAATTTATTACAGCGTAGATGAATCATAGGTAATGAAATCTGTGGTCTAACATTCTGTACCGTGTTGTAATTGGGTGATTGGACCTCGGTGTCCCGAAATAGACATTTCCTGTGCTATTCCACAATATTCGACAGGATGAATTATAGCAATATCAGCAATTGTCAATAGAGATGTCCTGGGGTACAGAGAGAATTGTATTTGTCGGCCGATTTTCAAAATAATTGTGAATATAAGATGCTATTTCTTTAAATATTATATTACCGTTCACTTGCCTTCGCTATCAACAGAGATAAAATAAATCTATCATTATACAATATATTCATATCGTTTTTATGTTAAAAGAGTAAGTATACACGATATAAAATTACCTGGCTCTTAATTAAACTATTTTTGTTCCACAACAAAAATAATGATTTGTACAAAAATATGCTTACTATGTAGACAATTAAATTCTTAAAACCGAACGCTACCTGTGATGAAGGCCGAACTCAACTACAACGTCTGACGAGTAATTAATAACGTTGCGCAGCGGCCCTATTTCTCGCCATTGTACGAACTGCAATTTTATCGCTAGATGGTATGTTCATACAAAATATCGATTGATAACTAGTATATTTTTTAACCAGAATAAGCCCACGCATTTTACTGACTGTTATTTATATAACAGAGATAATATTTACTATTCGTATTTTAATGGTAGTAGAACGAGATCATAAGTAACGGTAGGCAGCGGTTTTAGCGGTAGCCAGCGGCTTGGCTCTGCCCCTGGCATTGCTGATATCCATGGGCGACGGTAACTATTCACCATTAGGTGGGCCGTATGTTCCTAGAAGGGCAGCAAAAAAGTACCATCCTGCATATTTCTGAAGCGAAGCAAACATGCGTTTGGGATGCATTCGTGAAGCAGCTGCTCTTGAGCAGATAAGTATCTTTCGGAGGCGCTCGGGCAGCTATTAGCAAATTCCACCCCTTCTGGCTGAGCTTTTGTTCGCCCACCTGTCCTGGTGAAACTGGAAAGGCCTTCGGGCCACCAGTAACCCTTCCTTCATAAAGAAAGAGAAGCGTTTGCTATTTGGGTCTTCGAGTAGAGGGCGGTAGATTCCCTTTCTATTGTTTTTGTGCTCCGGTAAACACATAGCACCAAGTCAACGTGAGCTAATCTGCTCATCTGGAGCTATAATAAAAAATCGAATATCTAATGAATGGAGATAATAAGTAGATTTAGTATCAATTGAAGCGTAAAGTACCCGCGAGCGTGCTCTATAATGTTAAAAACGTTTTATATCATTCTCATACAATTTACGTATGAATTGCACTTCATTGTTATTTAATAATGGGCATTATCTTGATGCTACATTATAGCTGGCATAATGCCGATCTTTTTATTTAATAACAGGAAATTATGAGCCAAAACAAGTGAAATAATTTTAACGTTACACGGTCATTTATTTATTATGTCATACTAGGTCACACTTTAGGCACAACCACAAAAGTTATATCGCGTCTTTGCTTCGTGTTATGTATTGTACTATTTTAGTCAAAAAGGAAGCCGCTCTATGTCACAGAAAGGTTATTATATTTCCAAAAGACGTCTCTTCGTGGGGTCCATCCAGTCTCTTAGCGCTATGGAGACACTTCTTCAAACAAGGTTCATTTATTAAATATATGTAGTATAAAAACGAACTTAATGCGCTTATCCAGCAAACCAAACTAACAATTAATCTTATATTTTTTATCCTGGTGATACAGAATATTAGAGCGATGTTTTAAAACTATTTCTTTGTCGTCCTTGATGCATATACAAATTTTCAAGTTAATCGGAGGTCTTGAAGTCGGTGAAAACTATATACAAAGATTTCGTTACATACAAACAAACATGCATGTGGGATTTTATATTTTTGGTGGGCCAGTGAAACGGTTGATGAATTGACACAAACTTGATTTTTTATTTCGTCTTAATCGTATTAATCTATGTAACTTTTTTTTTATTGCTCAGATTGGTGGACGAGTTCACAGCCCACCTGGTGTTAAATGGTTACTGAAGCCCATAGACATCTACAACGTAAATACGCCACCCACCTTGAGATATAAGCTCTAAGGTCTCAGTATAGTTACAACGGCTGCCCCACCCTTCAAACCGAAACGCATTACTGCTTCACGGCAAAATAGGCAGGGTGGTGGTACCCACCCGCGCGGACTCACAAGAGGTCCTAACTCCTACCACCAGTAATCTAAACTACTGAAATATAAACGTCTTTCGCCTTCAGAGTTACACCGCGTCTATCTGCCGTCGTGTCCGGCAACTACCCTCTTTTCACTTAAAAAATAAAACTAAGTGTTCCACATTCATTCGCCGTCTTTCTTACTTCCTAACACGACATCTCCTATCTCTTTCACTCAGTCATGCTCCATATCTGTCATCCATAAATATTGTTCCGCTCCGTTCCTACATACATACATACTTAACACGTCATTAAGGATCCTCCCGATCCATTAACGGTGCTTTTAGGTACCACGAGTACCAGTCACCGTCCTCGTCGAACCCGTCGCTTGCGACGAAGGGCTCGACGAGCGAATTAACCCACAGACACAGCCCACTGAGTTTCTCGCCGGATCTTTTCAGTGGGTCGCGTTTCCGATCCGGTGGTAGATTCTGCGAAGCACTGTTCTTACTAGGGCCAGTGCTAACAACAATCCGGTTTGAGCCCCGTGAGCTCACCTACACGTTAGGGTAAAGCTGAAATAGCCTCCCAAGGCTATCAGCATAGGTAGTAAAAAAAAACATACATACCAAGTTAACAAAAGCATGTTAATAAGGGTACGTCGCCACGACTGCGACCTTGGCACTGTCGGTTTTCAAGGGCGGTATTTTCGATACCATCACGCGGACCGCTAACTCCATCGATTTCAACCGCAATATAAAATAAATAAGTCTTCGATAAGCACGGTCATAAATCCATACGAAGCAAATTACATTTCCTGACTGATTTATCAACGACCACTGCAAACGACTGCACCCATGAGCCACATAATATAAAGCTGAAACTCTGACAGCGTATTTCTACAATGACATACATAGTCATTGAGAAAACCTTTTATGTGTGACAACAATTTCATTTCTCTTACAAATTTACTCATAGTTCGGTGCATATTTGCGTTAAGAAAAACATGAATAATAATTTGTAAAATATATTATGTTCCACTGTTTGTATTATTTATATCATCAAGATCGTATTTATTGTAAAAAAAACAAATATATGTTGGTAGGATATTTCATATACATATAATATAAATTACATTACATATAGATTTATGTGAATATTTATTAAAGCACTATCGTAACAATATGTTGATTTACAATGGGTTGCTATTTTTTATTCCTTATATAGGCGGACGATATCACGGCCCATTTGGTGTTAAATAGTCATCGGAACCCATTAACATCAACAACTTAAGTGCTTAATAACCTTGAGACATGAGTTCTAAGTCTCAGTTGTAGAGTACAATGGCAACCCCATCCTTTATACCCAAATGCATTACCGCTTCACGGCAGAAATAGGCAGATGGTGGTACCTACCCGTGCATCTTTTACTCTGAAACTTATCTTAGATTTCTTAGTTTCTATAGAGCAAACGAAGCCGCCAGCACGAACTAGTTTGCTAGTTTTTGCTAAAAAGTCAAGTTTTGTGGTACGCAGCGACTTGGCTAAGGTCTTGGCACTGCCGATTTAGTGACCATGACATCTTATGTATGATTGTCTAACATCGAAAGCAATATACAAAAAAATATTTGAAGTAGTCGATTTGAGAAGTTAATGTCTTAAGTTTGAAATTTCTTAACTTTACTTGCGCGTATACGTGGCATATTTTCTATTGTCATGAAAATATCTGAAGGTTTCGATAAAGAAATCAAGAATCTCTGTAATTAGTATTTTTGAACACTAAAGATTTTATCTGTCAATTGTTTTCCTTTCTAGTCTCAATCAGTTATAAAACTGATCACAGTAAACCCTAATTTTTGGAAATTATGTTGATTTAATAAATTTACTAAACTAGACTCTAACAATATCGATCTGTTGACCTACTGGATGGGGCGACTGGTGATCGTTGTAAATGATTTGACCGTGTCGGGGCTTATTCCAACATTTTTCAGCGAATACATTCAGTATTTTTCACACGAAAACCTTCTTATCGTGGCCGCCTTTCCGTAACCTACCCAGTAACGTAACAGACCCAGACGACGGGGTAATGAAACGCCGCCGTCATTCTATACACATCTTATCCGGCCGCGCCGGACATCAATTAGATAACCTGGAAAAGCCTGGAAAGGCTGAGATGATGAGGGTGTTTTTTTTTTATTGCTTAGTTGGGTGGATGAGCTCACAGCCCACCTGGTGTTAAGAGGTTACTGGAGCCCATGGACATGTACAACGTAAATGCGCCACCCACCTCGAGATATAAATTCTAAGGTTTCAAGTATAGTTACAACGGCTACCTCACCCTTCAAACCGAAATGCATTACTGCTTAACGGCTGAAACGGGCAGGGTGGTGGTAACTATCTGTGCGGACTCACATGATGTCCTACCACCAGTAACGCAAATTATAATTTTGCGAGTTGATGATGAAGCGCCGGTCCGAAAAAGTCCAACTTGCAGCATAGCCCATAGACACAACCCACTGAATTTCTCGACGGATCTTCTCAGTGGGTCACGTTGCTGAGCCTATAGTAGCTTCAGCAAAGCAATTCCCCTGCTAGGGGTAGTGTTAGAAATTTCTCTCAGGCTTAGCCTTGTGAGCTGCTCTAACCGTTCGCGCCGTCGAAATCGCCCGTTAGTTACCAACAATTGAGCAAATTTATAATTTCTGAAATAAAAGTAATAGCAAAATAAAGAAGTGTTGAAACAAACAAATAATGTTATTCAGCAAATAAGTTATATCCCGTATGGTCTAGTGGCTAGGATACCTGGCTTTCACCCAGGAGGCTCGGGTTCGATTCCCGGTACGGGAAAGTTTTTTGCCTTTTTTGCACACAATTACGACTAATACATTCAGTTCAATGTGTTTCAATCTAAACTAAACTTGCACTTTTTATAAATAAAAAAACATCAAAACTTTACCTATTAAAAGCCTCGTATAGTTTTCTTTTACTTTTCTTAGGAAAGAGAGGGAAAGAGTAATTTACTGAATAGCATAACCCAACCTTGAACACTTACTATTTTACAATAATAATATTCAGAACATTATCTTAATAACTTAAACTAAAACATCACAATATTATAATATAATATTTATTTAATGTTATATATATTATTTTAGAATAATATCAATGTGCTACAAATGTACACAAATTAATCAAAATAATAATCAACAACAAGTAATTTACAATATTAACCAAAACATTTAATTTTTTTAAATAACTTAAAAATGTATTTATTTATGTAATAACGTACGATGTAGAGTACATTTATTCTATACTATACGCGAAATTTAATTTTAATTATGAACAGTTAATGTTCTTCCATTTTTCTGGAAACCGAATTGAGCCATCGGAATGTTCGAGCGTTGTGTTTGACACATTACGTCCTTGCACTCATTAGGATGTGGTCGATCTCACTTTACCCATTTAACGCCCTGATGATGATTGTCGGATGTCTTTACATCCTACAGTTGATCTGTATTGCGGAAAAACCTCGTAAAGTTATCTTTATTCCGCGTTTCAACGGTTTGTGCAAAGATTACAAACGATAAATGACTCTGTTCCTTTTTTATTAATGGACGGAATTGCATTACGGAGTTTGGTTGGCTACTGGCATATAATTGGTTTTAATCTGAACACATAAACGTTGTGTTGTCCTATTTTCGTATTCTCAACGGAGACTTGGTGATTAAATATGTTTTTCTAAATTCAGAAAAAAGTGGTTTCCTTATTATGTAGCCGAGTAATGGAAACAAAATGCGAATGTAATATTAACACTCTACAAACATACAATTAAAAGCTAATGCTTAGTCAACCGATAGTTAATCTATTCAACACAAGATGGCGCTACTAGAGTCAATATCAATTTAAATTTTCGTTTCTGGATTTAATACATCCAGTTAATATTACAAACTGTTGTTATAATTTTTTTTATCACAACAGCTTACAAGGTTTTATGAAAAAAAAATAGGGCTTTTTTGTTAATTTTATATTGTTTTTTTTTCAAGACAAACCTTATCTGACCATAATTTAAGTTCACTTAATCTTTATTGCTTACAAGAATTTTATTTCTATTCCCACGCATCTAAATAAAAATATAAATAAGAAAAAATATTACGTACATAGATAAACTTTAAAACAAACAATATCTTTCATCAGGTTCCTTGACGCGGCCCGGCGGAGACTGTACACAATGAGTGCTCAAACACCAACAACCTCCGATATGAACAAACAAACAAGCATCCGAAAAATATCGTGACATCTGTACAACCCAACATGATTCCGGAACATTCTTATGAGATGCATGTACGAAACGAAGATGACAGTTCAGACAAGGGTAAACTATCTGCCGGAAAAATCTTCTATAAGCCCGGTATTATAGAAGAGGAGACGGATGAAACCAGTGTTTTTGATAGTTCAATTGTGGAGACTCCCATGCTATACACCGGGAGTGGGTTTCTCAGGCCGCCTCAGATACACCCATCGAGTAGCCTCCATAGAATACCAACTTACAGCAGCTCTATTGGACAGACTACTATTTATCGGCAGGATACTTGCAGGTCTGTGCGTAATATTACTCGAAATATTATGACATGCATATTATGTTAAGATAAACCTTGAGTATTTAGTTTATATTCATGTTTAGATTAAAAATAAACATTCAGGATCACGTAAAATAATTTCTTAAAATTAGTTGCAGTAAATTTCAAAATTTTGCGTTCAGAATTCTTATTAATCTAAATGATTTTAAATTCTTTTTAAAGTATTCTTTTTATTTTGCGGTGCTAAAGAACTTGTTTTGTACGACTTTAAAACTATTTTTATACGTTATCTTTATTAGAAATGATTGAGAATAAGAAAAATTAGAAGTTTCTTATTGTTTTAAAAATATTTAGGGCCTCACTTTCTATAAGCAAAAATCGTAACTATGTATATCGGGGGCTATTTGGTTTAAGCAATATTACGCTCAATACGCGACATTTATCTTTGTAATTAATGGTGCGTTTTGTTTGGTATTAGCCTCAACAGTTCGATATTTTTAATTAAACTTCAAATAAATTGAGTCCATTCAAATCGCTGAAGAAGTTTTTTGTTATGATATATTTGCAAATTTTAAGCTTCAAATGGCTCTCCTTTAAAGTTGCAACAATGTTTGCTACCAAATATCGTTTCACCCCCGATATTCAGTAAGCAATGTTGATGTCATGTTAAGCATCAATGTTGTGAGCGTCTTAAACAGGATTTTCGATCTAGAATCCATTTAGATTGCTTCATGAATCCATCGATTCATCAGTTGTCGATGAAGGCTGCTGTTGTCATTAACAAGTGACACCAAAATTTTACGCCTATTGAATGATTCTCTATAATCTTCTATGACGTTCTACAGCTAAGGAACGATATTTGCATATTATTATATCCGTTGCTTCCATACTTCCGGACAGTAGTCTATTGTCGATGATTACGCTCTAAAGGACCCTGTCGGCTTAGGGAGAAATTTCTGTTATAGCTGTATTTTGTACGGAATGTTCTGTAGGTAGTTCCTTATGGAATTGTTTATCTCACTTAATTTACATCTGATTTCTACTATTAAAGCTCATCTCTACTGCTTATTGCTTTTATCCAAAGATATTTTTGCCATCTGCTAAACTTTCGACTATGGAACGAACTTTCCATCATGGTGTTTTTCCACGCTATAATAGAGTTATTTCAAAGGATAACACTTACGGTCTCGATAGGTGTACTTTATGATCGCCTGTCTTCGTAAGTAATAAATGTAGCAGGTATTTTTTTTTTTTTTTTACTGCTTAAGTGGGTGGACGAACTCATGGTCCACCTGGTGTTAATTGGTTCCCGGAGCCCATAGATACCTACAACGTAAATTCCGGCACATACCTTGAAATATGATTATAAGGTCTCAGTTTTTACAGTGCAACGGCGCCCCCACCTTTCAAACCGAAACGCATTACTGCTTCACGCAGAAATAGACTGGGTGGTACCTACTCGTACGGACTCATAACTTGCAGTACTATCCTACCGTCCTACCATCAGTAATTACGTAAATATCTCCATATTTCTGTTAGTGTTCATTCTTAATAAATATATACTCGGCACCATTCACCTTTTTCTTGTTTCTGCTACTGGTCCAAAATGTTACAAAAATGCTCAGAATTAAATTCAATTTACTGAATCACGAATGCATTTTACGATATAACGTGTTTTGCGAAAGCAATTGAAAGCATAGATATGTGATTATGCTTTTAATATCCTATTAAGGTAGGTTTGGGCGTCATAATTTCCGCAGCAATAAATCACCGAAGGATCCGCTTAAATGACAATCAGTCGCAATTTTATTATCAATATTTCCACAAAAAAAGATATTTTTATATGTTTGCGCCACGGACAACAATCTTGAGGTGCCAACGTATCTAATCAGTTTGGAACAGATAAATTCTTGACTTATCAATAGTCACGTAAAGTGTGTATTCGCGCGTCAACCATTGTACTCGGGACGTTATTTGCCACACCTAAAAACCGCGTAAACGATCACCGTTAGTTACTGTTTCGAATAATTCAAAAGTTATTTCAGTGAATTAGATTAATAAACGGAGGCGACACAAGACGACAGTGAGCGAAAATGCGTCGCAGACGTAAATAGTGATGTGATAAGTCCATTTTATCTTTGTTGACCACGTTTGCTCTACATTCATGTAAAATAAATCAGTGGAGTGACGAGGTATGTTCATTGTTCATAATAATACATATATTAATTATGATAATCATAATAATATAGCTGTTTGTGACGATCATAATAACGTACTTATGAAATCGTCGTCTGAAATTTCAACATGGAACTTTCTAGATATTGTTATGCGAAGACTAAAATGTACTTTAAAAAGACTGCTGTAGAGAAAGCACAAGCTTACATTTCAAATATTATGCGGAGGCCTATAATATGCGTGGTGGTAGGACCTCTTGTCAGTCCGCACGGATAGGTACCACCGCCCTACCTATTTCTGCCGTAAAGCAGTAATGCGTTTCGGTTTGAAGGCTGGGACAGCCGTTGTAACTATATTTGAGACCTTAGAACTTATATCTCAAGGTGGGTGGCGCATTTACGTTTTAGATGTCTATGGGCTCCAGTAACCACATAACACCAGGTGGGCTGTGAGCTCGTCCACCCACATAAGTAAGAAAAAAAATGCGGGAGTATTGTATTTATAAATTAAAGCAGTTACGAAAGTTTTTTAATTATTATTTTTATGGCTCTAAGAGATCATGGTGTATCTGGTGGTTAGTGGTTATTGACATTCGTAAACATTACAATGCGAACACCACACAAAATTAGAGCAAAGGCCTTTCCAACCTTATTTATCTATTCCGTGGCGAACACCATCATCACCCGTTCCGAGATCTCCGGTCAAAGTGAAGTAGTAAAAAAAAGATTTTTGCAAAATATCACTTTTAAATTGCGTGGCCATTGATTCAGAAAACTGGACTAGAAGTGCTCACGATTTAGTCATATTAGATAATAAATATTGGGTCATTGTCGGTTTGATGGCTAGCAACGGATTCGTTTGTCTTTTACATGACTTTTTTTTAATTTGTTTATTGCTTAGATGGGTGGACGAGCTTACAGCCCACCTGGTTTTAAGTGGTTACTGGAGCCCATAGGCATCTACAACGTAAATGCGCCACCCACCTTGAGATATAAGTTCTAAGGTCTCAAGTATAGTCACAACGGCTGCCCCACCCTTCAAACCGAAACGCATTATTGCTTCACGGCAGAAATAGGCAGGGTGGTGGCACGTACCCGCGCGGACTCACAAGAAGTCGTGATATCTCAACTCATTCAGAAATAATAGAAATGGCAAAACAGTGTTTTGAAATATTGCTACTTTCCGAAAAATCGCTTTATTTCTTTTTATTATTGGCATCAATTCTAGCCCTGCCCACCTGATGATAAGGCGTTATCGTTGCTCGTGGATACCAGGAACTTCAGGAGCGTAGCCAAGCCGCTGCATACAACTGAGAATTCTTTTTAAGCTTCCGTTTGAATAAAATCATGTCCTAGTGTTTAAGTATTGAATTAAATCATGTCCTAGTCCTTAAGAAACACCATGAACGGCTGTTCATGCCATAGTAGGTTAGAACATGGAAAATATTTATCCCTTAAAACACACTAAATGAACGAGCATTTTCCCTTCATTTCATACCCAAGTATTGGCTGATAGCATAACGGGCAATCCCATCTGCGCTATAGCTGATGATGATGTAGCTGTAAATGAGCTTACAGGGCTCAAGAGAGTTTGTTAACACTGGTCCTAGCAAGAGTAGTGCTTTGAAGAATCTACCATCGGAATCGAATTATGACCCACTGAGAAGATCTGGTGAGAGCCTCAGTGGGTTAGATCGCTGAGAACGGTGACGAACATTTTCCAGCTCCGTCCCAGTGCAAAGTAGTGTGAAGATTATAAGGCCATCATCAAATTCATCATCCTCAAATATTTTCTCAAACCACTCCTCAAGGTGCCATCCCAACCTATTGAATTCAAATTACATCATTAATTTTACTCCAAATCTATTATTTCAATAGATAAATCCTTTGTTACTTTAAATACGAAACCTATTAGTCATAGGGATATCGATAACATAATCGACTTTTGGAAATAGGATTTACTATTGATTATCGTTTATCGATATTTACGTGAAGAGAATATTCACTGAATGCTTTTTTTAATGCATGATATGGGAAAGCAGGCTTTTTATCCACTTGTTACTCGATGGTTATCGAGCCTAGGGATAAAAGGCAGATGTTTCATTGGTATTGTAATATAAGTAGGATGGTGGTAACTATAACACATTCCTTGCCACCAGGACAATAAGAGGGCAATTGAGGTCGGGAGGCTGAGTGAATTTGAGAAATAAACATAATTCGTAAATATAGTAATGGCAATTGCAAATGGAAGAGGTCGCACCACGTATCTCTCTTCTCCCTCTCCCCACATCTTATTTAAATTAAAATAATTGTTTGTATTTTAGTCCTTTATGCGTTCCTAAGCCATTCACCCGATTGCGACGAAACTCGGTACAGTAGTTATTGGTACTCTAGAGGAGATTTCTGACATAGTACAACGCCACAGACACGTCATCGTACCATAGGTAATTTGTGAATAGTTTCATGGAACCAATGTTTTTCATGCGGTTCAACATTTTCATAGCGGAACATGAAATTGTTTTAATAGTCCTGAGAAAATGCTCGGATAGACGTGTCCTACACTTGACCTCAAATTTTTTTTATCTCTTCAATTTGCTAAATGTACCGCGTTATTTCAGCCGCGTTAAAGTTATCATTCAGAAAAAAACTGAAACAATACAAATTCGCATCTAAGTATAAACGTTTATCTTCTAGGATATTATTTACATACTTTGTGTAATAAAAATTCCTTAATCAGAAGATACAAGAATGCAAACCAGCTTCTTCGAGATCCTACTGCTTCTTTAATTTATTTAGCCGTCTTTAGTTATGACTCTTTTTTATTTCAATTAACTCTTTTTTATA